ACATGTGATTAACCTGATCACAACGTAAATATATTTCCACACCAAACCCGACACAATCCAAAAACAATGAATAATTAATAACAACAATTGTAGGGATAGGGGAATATATAACTCACCTGAAACCTGTCAAACTATCTATATATCTGACTCAGCAGACAGCCAATCATTCTCGCCCACACATCACTATTCCTCATAGTAAACTGGTTTGCAACCCAGTTAAAAAAACTCAATGAGCTGTTTTCATCATATGCAGTATGTAAATACAACGAAAGGTTCACAAGTAAATTATCCAGCCAAGAGAACACAACACCCTCGATGTCTTTATCCTGAGCCACAAATATTACCTCATCATTTAGTTGTTACAGCGTGCTGTATCAGTTCAGTGGAAGGGAAGAGAACGATCCCTACTAAATCTACATAGGGAAATCATAACTTTGATAGGAGAAAGTTTGGGTGATAGGGGATTTTGAGTAAAAAAACGTTTCTTACTCAGAAAATATAATAAATCTGTACAGCCATGAGTTCCAACAAAATATTTGATCGAAATAGATGTATTTAAACTACATGGTGCCTGTTAAGTGTATCACGGCAGTACACAAGCATCCAAGTTATAAACGCATCGAATTTCAGGCCTTAAATTTATCCAAAACTTACATTGTTTTCTTTAAGAATGTATATTATGAATACTTTACTTAAACTGAACCCATGAAAAAAACGTAGGATAAGGTGTAAATGATATATCTGCTAGATCTTTCCTCACTACCTTTCCCAATAAAAGACTTCCAAAATTTAATACACTTACGGACGAAAATATATATCTTTGAGATCAGTAAGCCGCTGTGTATTCACCATAACAACCGCATCACTTGCGCCCTTAATCACCTCTTGATTACTTAACCTTTACTCGTTCCTTCTAACGAAGACGGCTATAATGTCGAATTTCAACCCAAACGCGTAAGTTTATGGATCTCAGTGTAAAATGTGCTAACCAGATCATAGATCCTATCAAATTGCAGTCTACTGAATATTTTTCATTGTAAATACTACCGCTTTCGGTATACATCTTACTTTTTTCGAAACCGGTACTTTGAACAAAAATCTTGATGCTATTAATAATGATATGGAACGAAGTTTAATGGTAGGTCCATCCAGTTTCAGCAAATGTTGGTCATTAATTCTGAAAGGACACTGAATTTCTATTGTTACCCTTAAGATATATACATATCTCATAAAGTTTGACATAGACCCAAAGTAATGAATTGAAATTCCTTTTTTGCTATAAAATAACAATTATATGTAGAACAAACACTGATTTAGCATGGCAAAAGACAGATGGGGGATGTTATATATTTTCAAAGCATGTAGAGAAGTACTATACCTTTAAAACTTCTTTATTAGCTAATTCCTTAGAATACAATGATTTTTGGCAGTGCAAATTAAAATTGGATTTCGACCAACTAATAATCATCTATAACGTGCTTACGACACCACATGAAGTTAAACTTTAGGCAGAATCAGTGAAACATGGCCGGTAAGAGTAGAGGACATTCGTAGGTTACTAATATTCGATCATAGATGTCTTCGAAGCATTGCTCGTATATCCTGGGACCATCGAGTAAGTAACGCAGTTGTTAGGAAACGGGAACTAGGTAAGGATGGCAAATCGATTGATGAAGTGGTGAAACTTCATCAGTTGAGATGGCTGGAACATGTGTTACGTATGCCCAACCACCAACTGCCTCGACGTGCGATGTTCAATGGTATAAAAGTAGGTTGGAAGTGTTGGGGACGATAGATCCCCAAACTCATATTTTAAAATTTATCTTATCGATCATCTTATTGATTAAATGTTAGATATTTTTATTGGTAGTCAATTGGTGAACTAATCGATTAAATGTTTGAATAGCAGTCAATTGATGAACTATCGATTACATGCGCAAATAGGTCAATTAATGAACTCATTGATTAATGTTTAAAAATTTTCTATCGATTGTAAATAATTGTATAAATACGCTTGACTTGTATGCTTGATCTGATCTGCCTGCCTGACTTGTTATCTGCTGTTTGTCTGTAGAATACACTTTCTACACCTTACCCAGACTTCTTGATCGAGTTAGCAGAGTTGGGGACAACGGACCAGAATAGTGTATCGAGTCGCTGAATCATTGATCCTTCGTTCGTTCGAGTAAGACGCATCAGTAATCGCATTCAAGCAATAACGAAACATAACAAATTGGCGACGGTGGTTTTTGAATTATGGACCCTGCCAAACTTGAACTGTTACTTGAGCAGCAGCTAAAATTGATGCAAATGTTAATGGAGACCAAGGTTACGCCTCCTTTACAGCCAAGCACGTCGAGCTCAATCACGGCACCATCGGTAGATGGCATCGCAAACAGCATAGCTGAACTTCATTACGATCCTGATTCTAATGTTACTTTTGAAATGTGGTTCAGGCGTTATGAAGATCTATTTAAATTTGATTTCGCCAATCAAGATGATGCTTGGAAAGTGCGGCTGCTACTTCGTAAACTGGGTGCAAATGAGCTGGACAAGTATTGCAATCTGATCTTGCCGTTGAACCCACGTGATCGATCATTTGCAGACACAGTTCAAACATTAATCCAACATTTTGGCGATAACTCGTCACTGTTTAATACTCGTTATCGTTGCTTGAAGCTGACTATGAACGAAGATGATGATTTTCTTACGCATGTGGGCGTCGTCAACCGTGAATGCGAACGCTTCCGGTTAAAGTCCTTGACTGAAGATCAGTTTAAAGCCCTGATCCTTATTTGCAGCCTACAGCACCAAAAGTTCAGTGACTTACGAACAAGGCTACTAAGTCGTCTGGATCAAGAACCGAAACTCACCCTGAGTGATATAGCTAATTAATATCAACGTCTCATTAATCTTCAACGAGACACTTCTATGGTCCAGAGTGGTGGTTCTAGCCCTTTCTCCTTGCTGGCAATGTGGTGCATGGCACTACGTTCGAAACTGCCCATTTAATCAACATCGATGCAAGAAGTGTAAGGTTATTGGCCATAAGGATGGGTTTTGTCTGACGAAGAAGACTCCAAGTCAATCAAGAAATACCAAAAAGACCTGTCCTAGATCCCGCACCAGTTCATTGAGCTTAGTATCTTCGTGTCAAAGCTCATCACCGTGTCAGAGAAAATTTATTACTGTTAACATTAATGGGCATTCATTTAGATTGCAAATAGACACTGCATCTGATGTAACAATTCTCTCACGAAAATATTGGATCAGAATGGGAAGACCACGCATGGTTCCAACAACACAAAAACCTCGAACTGCATGCGGTAATTACCTAAGTTTGTTGGGACAACTAGATTGTAAAGTGTCTTTTCACGATTCAACGTTTACCGGTGTATGTTACATCACACCAGCTGATCTTAATCTGCTTGGGTTAGACTGGTTTGACCAGCTACACTTAGCTGACGTTCCTTTAAGCACCGTATGCCATCTGGTGAAAAAACCTCATGAACCTGAAGCATATTCGAAAGAACTAATGACGGAGTTTTCAACCATTTTCCAACCTGGATTGGGTCGCTGCTCTGTCATGAAAGCAACACTTCGATTGAAAACTGGGGCTAAGCCTGTTTTTCGCCCAAAGCGACCTGTCCCTTATGCAACATTACAAACAGTAGATGAAGAATTGAACTGCCTTCAACAACAAGGAGTTATCACTCCCGTTTCCTACTCTGCATGGGCAGCACCTATCGTGGTTATTAAGAAGGCCAACGGTACGATACGTATATGTGCTGACTTTTCAACAGGTCTCAATGCAGCTCTGGAACAACATCATTATCCCTTGCCTGTTCCCGCAGACCTATTTACCATGCTGAATGGGGGAAGATTTTTCGCTAAGCTGGATCTAGCTGATGCTTATTTGCAAGTGGAAGTAGACGAAGCATCAAGAGAGCTGTTAACTATCAATACTCATCGTGGTTTATTCCAGTATAGCCGTCTACCTTTCGGAGTCAAAACTGCACCATCTATTTTCCAACAGCTAATGGATACCATCCTATCAGGTATCCCGGGAGTCGCGGCTTATTTGGACGACATTTTAATTGTAGCAACGACATTAGAACAACTACGAGAACGCACGACATTGGTACTGCAACGCATCAGTGACAACGGGTTCCGGTTACGCCCAGAGAAATGCCAGTTTCATTTGCAGTCGGTAAAGTACTTGGGGTTCATTTTCGATGCCGATGGCCGCAGGCCGGATCCTGAGAATATCCGAGCTATCAAACTGATGCCAACTCCTACTAATGTCTCATCACTACGTTCCTTCCTGGGACTTGTCAGCTATTACTCAGCGTTCGTTCCATCGATGCATGATATTCGCGCTCCCCTCAATAGCTTACTGCAGAAGAACAGCTCTTGGAACTGGACTAAACAATGTGACGCTGCCTTTTGTAAACTGAAGTCCATTATTAGTTCGGAATTGCTGTTGACACACTACGATCCAGCCTTGCCGATCATCGTAGCTGCAGACGCTTCAGCGCATGGCCTAGGCGCTGTTATCTCCCATCAGTTTCCGGATGCGTCGGAAAAAGCCATTATGCATGCAGCCCGTACACTAACCCCAGCAGAAAGGAAGTACAGTCAAATAGAAAAAGAGGCTCTGGCTCTTGTGTTTGCAGTACGCCGTTTCCACAAATTCTTGTACGGTCGAAGATTTACTCTTCTCACTGATCACAAGCCTCTTCTCACAATTTTCGGTTCGAAATCTGGTGTTCCAGCCCATTCTGCAAACCGTCTCCAACGATGGGCTTTGATACTTCTGGGTTATGATTTTGACATTCAGTATCGGCGCACTCAACAGTTTGGTCAGGCTGACGCCTTGTCGCGACTTATCAGCGAACACCATACGGCCGGCGAAGATACAGTTATCGCCTCCCTGATGACAGAGGACTACGCGCAGTGCTACCTGACAACTGCTATTCGTGCTTTGCCAGTCTCAGCACCTGAAATACAATCTGCATCCAAGAACGACTCCATCATAAAGAGAGCGATGAAATACGTCACAAATGGCTGGCCGCCGACTGGACTCGATGGTGACTTGAAACAGCTTTACCATCGTCGGGACTCATTATGCGTCGTAAACGAATGCTTGATGTTTGGAGATAGAGTAGTAGTACCAGAATCCCTAAGATCAAAGGTGCTAAAGCAATTCCACACTGGTCATCCTGGTATAAAACGAATGAAATCCATCGCCAGAAGCTATGCTTATTGGCCCCTCATGGACCAACATATCGTGGATTTAGTAAGCAAGTGCACACAATGTCAGCAAGCAGCTAAGTGTAACGCGAAAATACTACCAGTCCCATGGCCACAGCCTGAGTATCCCTGGTACAGGATACATGTCGATTTCGCAGGCCCAATTAACGGAATCACCTATCTAGTTGTTGTCGACGCCTTTTCGAAATGGCCTGAAATCAACCCTATCATACCGCCAACGACAACTAAAACAATACAGATCCTCACAGAAATTTTCTCTCGAAATGGTATACCAGATGCTATTGTGTCTGACAACGGGTCACAGTTCACCTCCAGCCAATTTCAGTCATTCTGTCAACGACTAGCCATAAAGCACTTACGCTCGCCACCATACCACCCGCAGTCGAATGGGCAAGCAGAAAGGTTTGTGGATACGTTTAAGAGAGCCTTGGCTAAAACAAAGGGGGAGGGGACGCCAGCAGACGCGTTGCAAAATTTCTTATACGTGTATCGAACAACACCAAATGAAACGTTGCCGGAGCGAAAGTCCCCAGCCGAGATCCTAATGGGAAGAAGACTGAAGACAATCCACAGCCTGATGCATCCAAGGAATGCACCGACACCAGTACGGACAAAGTTTGAAAAGCAATCCACGTACGAAGTGGGATGTCCGGTGTTTGCCCGTAATTACAGACCGACCCATAGTCCATGGACAGAAGCGCGAGTGGTCAAAAGAGTTGGCCGAGTCATGTACGAAGTTGAGGTAGGTAGTGACAGGTGGCAACGCCATCGGAATCAGTTACGCAAACGGTTAGCCCCAGACCGCCCATCAACAGAATCAAATATTCCTCTTGACATTCTGCTAGACACATTCAACTTACCGGCAACCCCACCACAAGAAAAACCTCAACAACAAACTGAAACACGTCCAAGACGGTGGCCTATCCGAGAACGGCGAGCAACAATCAGGATGCAGGTTGACCCCAGGAAAGCCCGCTATTAAAAAGGGGAGGAGTGTTGGGGACGATAGATCCCCAAACTCATATTTTAAAATTTATCTTATCGATCATCTTATTGATTAAATGTTAGATATTTTTATTGGGGTCAATTGGTGAACTAATCGATTAAATGTTTGAATAGCAGTCAATTGATGAACTATCGATTACATGCGCAAATAGGTCAATTAATGAACTCATTGATTAATGTTTAAAAATTTCCTATGACAATATCGATTGTAAATAATTGTATAAATACGCTGGACTTGTATGCTTGATCTGCCTGCCTGACTTGTTATCTGCTGTTTGTCTGTAGAATACACTTTCTACACCTTACCCAGACTTCTTGATCGAGTTAGCAGAGTTGGGGACAACGGATCAGAATAGTGTATCGAGTCGCTGAATCATTGATCCTTCGTTCGTTCGAGTAAGACGCATCAGTAATCGCATTCAAGCAATAACGAAACATAACAAATTGGCGACGGTGGTTTTGAATTATGGACCCTACCAAACTTGAACTGTTACTTGAGCAGCAGCTAAAATTGATGCAAATGTTAATTGAGACCAAGGTTACGCCTCCTTTACAGCCAAGCACGTCGAGCTCAACCACGGCACCATCGGTAGATGGCATCGCAAACAGCATAGCTGAATTTCATTACGATCCTGATTCTAATGTTACTTTTGAGATGTGGTTCAGGCGTTATGAAGATCTATTTAAATTTGATTTCGCCAATCAAGATGATGCTTGGAAAGTGCGGCTGCTACTTCGTAAACTGGGTGCAAATGAGCTGGACAAGTATTGCAATCTGATCTTGCCGTTGAACCCACGTGATCGATCATTTGCAGACACAGTTCAAACATTAATCCAACATTTTGGCGATAACTCGTCACTGTTTAATACTCGTTATCGTTGCTTGAAGCTGACCATGAACGAAGATGATGATTTTCTTACGCATGTGGGCGTCGTCAACCGTGAATGCGAACGCTTCCGGTTAAAGTCCTTGACTGAAGATCAGTTTAAAGCCCTGATCCTTATTTGCAGCCTACAGCACCAAAAGTTCAGTGACTTACGAACAAGGCTACTAAGTCGTTTGGATCAAGAACCGAAACTCACCCTGAGTGATATAGCTAATGAATATCAACGTCTCATTAATCTTCAACGAGACACTTCTATGGTCCAGAGTGGTGGTTCTAGCCGATTTGAAGTACGAGCGGTGCAACAGACGCCTCACAAAAACAAACACGTCCCCGCTTCATCCAGTCCATCTCACTCCAGCTCTAGACGACAGACTAAAGCAACCCCTCCTGCTCCTTGCTGGCAATGTGGTGCATGGCACTACGTTCGAAACTGACCATTTAATCAACATCGATGCAAGAAGTGTAAGGTTATTGGCCATAAGGATGGGTTTTGTCTGACGAAGAAGACTCCAAGTCAATCAAGAAATACCAAAAAGACCTGTCCTAGATCCCGCACCATTTCATTGAGCTTAGTATCTTCGTGTCAAAGCTCATCACCGTGTCAGAGAAAATTTATTACTGTTAACATTAATGGGCATTCATTTAGATTGCAAATAGACACTGCATCTGATGTAACAATTCTCTCACGAAAATATTGGATCAGAATGAGAAGACCACGCATGGTTCCAACAACACAAAAACCTCGAACTGCATGCGGTAATTACCTACGTTTGTTGGGACAACTAGATTGTAAAGTGTCTTTTCACGATTCAACGTTTACCGGTGTATGTTACATCACACCAGCTGATCTTAATCTACTTGGGTTAGACTGGTTTGACCAGCTACATTTAGCTGACGTTCCTTTAAGCACCGTATGCCATCTGGTGAAACAACCTCATGAACCTGAAGCATATTCGAAAGAACTAATGACGCAGTTTTCAACTATTTTCCAACCTGGATTGGGTCGCTGCTCTGTCATGAAAGCAACACTTCGATTGAAAACTGGGGCTAAGCCTGTTTTTCGCCCAAAGAGACCTGTCCCTTATGCAACATTACAAACAGTAGATGAAGAATTGAACCGCCTTCAACAACAAGGAGTTATCACTCCCGTTTCCTACTCTGCATGGGCAGCACCTATCGTGGTTATTAAGAAGACCAACGGCACGATACGTATATGTGCTGACTTTTCAACAGGTCTCAATGCAGCTCTGGAACAACATCATTATCCCTTGCCTGTTCCCGCAGACCTATTTACCATGCTGAATGGGGGAAGATTTTTCGCTAAGCTGGATCTAGCTGATGCTTATTTGCAAGTGGAAGTAGACGAAGAATCAAGAGAGCTGTTAACTATCAATACTCATCGTGGTTTATTCCAGTATAACCGTCTACCTTTCGGAGTCAAAACTGCACCATCTATTTTCCAACAGCTAATGGATACCATCCTATCAGGTATCCCGGGAGTCGCGGCTTATTTGGATGACATTTTAATTGTAGCAACGACATTAGAACAACTACGAGAACGCACGACATTGGTACTGCAACGCATCAGTGACAACGGGTTCCGGTTACGCCCAGAGAAATGCCAGTTTCATTTGCAGTCGGTAAAGTACTTGGGGTTCATTTTCGATGCCGATGGCCGCAGGCCGGATCCTGAGAATATCCGAGCTATCAAACTGATGCCAACCCCTACTAATGTCTCATCACTACGTTCCTTCCTGGGACTTGTCAGCTATTACTCAGCGTTCGTTCCATCGATGCATGATATTCGCGCTCCACTCAATAGCTTACTGCAGAAGAACAGCTCTTGGAACTGGACTAAACAATGTGACGCTGCCTTTTGTAAACTGAAGTCCATTATTAGTTCGGAATTGCTGTTGACACACTACGATCCAGCCATGCCGATCATCGTAGCTGCAGACGCTTCAGCGCATGGCCTAGGCGCTGTTATCTCCCATCAGTTTCCGGATGCGTCGGAAAAAGCCATTATGCATGCAGCCCGTACACTAACCCCAGCAGAAAGAAAGTACAGTCAAATAGAAAAAGAGGCTCTGGCTCTTGTGTTTGCAGTACGCCGTTTCCACAAATTCTTGTACGGTCGAAGATTTACTCTTCTCACTGATCACAAGCCTCTTCTCACAATTTTCGGTTCGAAATCTGGTGTTCCAGCCCATTCTGCAAACCGTCTCCAACGATGGGCTTTGATACTTCTGGGTTATGATTTTGACATTCAGTATCGGCGCACTCAACAGTTTGGTCAGGCTGACGCCTTGTCACGACTTATCAGCGAACACCATACGGCCGGCGAAGATACAGTTATCGCCTCCCTGATGACAGAGGACTACGCGCAGTGCTACCTGACAACTGCTATTCGTGCTTTGCCAGTCTCAGCAGCTGAAATACAATCTGCATCCAAGAACGACTCCATCATAAAGAGAGCGATGAAATACGTCACAAATGGCTGGCCGCCGACTGGACTCGATGGTGACTTGAAACAGCTTTACCATCGTCGGGACTCATTATGCGTCGTAAACGAATGCTTGATGTTTGGAAATAGAGTAGTGGTACCAGAATCCCTAAGATCAAAGGTGCTAAAGCAATTCCACACTGGTCATCCTGGTATAAAACGAATGAAATCCATCGCCAGAAGCTATGCTTATTGGCCCCTCATGGACCAACATATCGTGGATTTAGTAAGCAAGTGCACACAATGTCAGCAAGCAGCTAAGTGTAACGCGAAAATACTACCAGTCCCATGGCCACAGCCTGAGTATCCCTGGTCCAGGATACATGTCGATTTCGCAGGCCCAATTAACGGAATCACCTATCTAGTTGTTGTCGACGCCTTTTCGAAATGGCCTGAAATCAACCCTATCATACCGCCAACGACAACTAAAACAATACAGATCCTCACAGAAATTTTCTCTCGAAATGGTATACCAGATGCTATTGTGTCTGACAACGGGTCACAGTTCACCTCCAGCCAATTCCAGTCATTCTGTCAACGACTAGCCATAAAGCACTTACGCTCGCCACCATACCACCCGCAGTCGAATGGGCAAGCAGAAAGGTTTGTGGATACGTTTAAGAGAGCCTTGGCTAAAACAAAGGGGGAGGGGACGCCAGCAGACGCGTTGCAAAATTTCTTATACGTGTATCGAACAACACCAAATGAAACGTTGCCGGAGCGAAAGTCCCCAGCCGAGATCCTAATGGGAAGAAGACTGAAGACAATCCACAGCCTGATGCATCCAAGGAATGCACCGACACCAGTACGGACAAAGTTTGAAAAGCAATCCACGTACGAAGTGGGATGTCCGGTGTTTGCCCGTGATTACAGACCGACCCATAGTCCATGGACAGAAGCGCGAGTGGTCAAAAGAGTTGGCCGAGTCATGTACGAAGTTGAGGTAGGTAGTGACAGGTGGCAACGCCATCGGAATCAGTTACGCAAACGGTTAGCCCCAGACCGCCCATCAACAGAATCAAATATTCCTCTTGACATTCTGCTAGACACATTCAACTTACCGGCAACCCCACCACAAGAAAAACCTCAACAACAAACTGAAACACGTTCAAGACGGTGGCCTATCCGAGAACGGCGAGCAACAATCAGGATGCAGGTTGACCCCAGGAAAGCCCGCTATTAAAAAGGGGAGGAGTGTTGGGGACGATAGATCCCCAAACTCATATTTTAAAATTTATCTTATCGATCATCTTATTGATTAAATGTTAGATATTTTTATTGGGGTCAATTGGTGAACTAATCGATTAAATGTTTGAATAGCAGTCAATTGATGAACTATCGATTACATGCGCAAATAGGTCAATTAATGAACTCATTGATTAATGTTTAAAAATTTCCTATGACAATATCGATTGTAAATAATTGTATAAATACGCTGGACTTGTATGCTTGATCTGCCTGCCTGACTTGTTATCTGCTGTTTGTCTGTAGAATACACTTTCTACACCTTACCCAGACTTCTTGATCGAGTTAGCAGAGTTGGGGACAACGGACCAGAATAGTGTATCGAGTCGCTGAATCATTGATCCTTCGTTCGTTCGAGTAAGACGCATCAGTAATCGCATTCAAGCAATAACGAAACATAACAGGAAGAAAGTTAGGGGCGGCCAGACCAAAATATGTCACAAGTTCATGAAGTCACTGACAAGTAGACTGAGTCATATTGGTAGGTGTAGACTACCTGGTTGGGGAGCGCCAGATAATAGTAACCGATGGTTAGAGACCCTGAATGACATGGCTCAAAATCGTTTGCACTCTTTGTGTTCTTTCAAATCCTAATCTTCTGAATTCTTCATGCCCCTTTTTTCCTCATTTTAAATTTATCTAACTGGATTATACTACTTGAATAACATCTTCAAACCCTAATCTTTCTGATTACTGCTTATACTCTTACCGCCTCTACCACTACGGGATTTGAATCGACAACTGCATCTCTGTGCTAATGTGGTGTGGCAACTCGAACTGATGTACGTACGTACGAAGTTCTACGTTGTTACTGACTGACTGACTTTAGGAAATTTTATGTATCACGTTAGGACATACCCAACGAAGTACGGAATTTCTCGAATCTTTCTTGATAAAATTAATTCATTTACAGCCATATGCACACTAAGTTCATTTTTAAGAAATTGTAATCATCACAAGCAGAGGTAAACGAAACTTATAACTTGTCGGAAATAACAATGAACAATTTTTACACATTTACAATACACACATGTTACATTACAACTATACATTTTAGAAAGAGTCTATTGAGTGAAATTCGATTTAGTTGCAACAAACCAATGTTCATTTTTACCTACAAATAACAAAATGAAACGACAATCAAACAAGGAATGAAAAGTACACAGTTACGGAACTATTCAACTTGACTTTTAACTGATCGGCAGATAAAGCCTAAACTGAATATTAAATCGTGAGCCAGATATTTTAAACATAGTACATATAAACCTACCCTTTGCACTTATTCTTAAGTAGCTACTATATGTAGCAACCAGTTGAAGAAAATGGTCGCTGATAGAAACTCTGCATAGATTTAAAATATTTGATCATCATGTATTAGTGTATCCTGTCAATAATGTCATTAACAGGCTAGCTTTCCTTTTAACGGTCAAGTACAGAATGTGGCGATGTGTTGGGTAACTGTGCGAAATGAGACAACTATCTCAATATGTGTAGTCGCTTGTGTGATTTAATTAAAAAGTAATCAACAGTTATGTTAGTACCCAGATATTATTGAAAAAAGATGTATTCAGCTTGAAATTTAATTAATGAAAGCTATAAAAGTTCAGTAATTAAATAGTACCATAGAAGATTCTCATTTGAACTGAAAGTTGATTAAACCAAAAGGCGACACGATCGTTGAAATAATTCACTGTTTATCTAAATGAGATGAATTGCAGGTGTTTAAGTTAATATATACAAGATTCCAGGAGTCCGCAGCTCGTAGCTTAAAATAACAGTACTCGGAATCTATTATACTTGTACACACTCATTTACTCTCTTTATTTGATATTTCTAAAAGTCTGTGATGGAAGGACACTTCCGGTGCGAAATTCGATGAATAAAATATGAGCAACAAAACAATAAAATAGTATATCAGTTACATGTTCATATAATACAAAATAACGAGTATATTATATGCAGACTGAACACCTTATGCGGTTATCTTTGTTGATTGCATGTTGAGGGCATAAATATCAAAGCCAAAGCCCCTCAAAGTAAACAAAAGATAACAGTGAGATAGATTAACTTAGTAAGGAAATAGAATAATTTATACACATATACAAAAGGCTAACTTACCTAGTCGTAGGATACCTAAACCGGTGGTTTGATCAAATCTGCTAAATGCTGCTTGTATATTTTCAGGTGACATTTCAAATTTATTGCCCTTCTTTAAAAGGTTAACATTATTTAGTACAACACCTCTCATGAAACATGTTTGTAAAGCTTCAGATCGATCTTTAAAGTTTGAGGTCAGCATAATTAGATCTAAAACACTTTCTAAAAGTTGACTATAATCATTTCCAGATCTTTTCAAAGAATCAGTGAAATCTTTGGGATAAATAACTGGCAGAAATTGTGCAGATGGTTTCAAGCAGGAGAAGAGATAGTTACGTTCTGAACTACTAAGTTCATTTTGAATTATTTCCAGACTGGTTTTATCAACTGGCAGGCTATCATTCGGGCAATTTACAGAACTCATAGGAAAAAATATTCGAGTTGCAAGTTCTGAAGCTTGTAAAGCATAGACTAAAAAGGTAGAAACAAGTGTTTTTTCCTGATAGCTGAACCCACTAAACATCAGTTGAGTAAAAATGTGGCATATTAATTAAAAAGTTACTTATGATCTCTTAGTTAGAGATCCAAATTACGCAAAAATCCGCTTCAATTTGGATAGCCAGGTAGTAGCATTACCCTTCACTAATAGCATGTCTAAAAGTATATAACGTACTTCGCTAATAAGTTGCATGAAATTAGATTAAAAATCGGTTAGTCAACGTTCGAATATTATGTTTGCTATGACGACTACTTATCAATTATGAAGTTTACATTCAATTTATGAAGTAAAGTAACCAGCAATAAGACAATTATCGTACGCTGAGCATAACAAGAAACTAGTTAATGGACGTACAAGAACAATAGTTGTTTCATGGCTTGAAAACATCATTGAGTAAAAGTAGTGTGAAAAATTTTGAAAATTACACTTACTGAAGTAACTATAGTAAATGATAGACTGAACAGACAGTATGTGAAATGTTGGTAACCTAGTTGACTAAATATCACAAATTATGAATCATTGCATATAGACGCCATCGTATAACCTGACTATTATTATCTCACCAAAAGCCAGTACTAAGGTACATTGATATCAGACAGAAATGACTGTTAAGTGAATACACACGGTTAACATTGAAATACATATTATATGGACAATTATATAATCATGAGTGACAGGGCTTGGAAAAGTAAATAAAAAGTGAAATGATCCACAATATAACTCACCTCCATGAACTAGTAAAGTGAGTTCTTTTGCCAGAGCCTTTTGAACTATACGACGATTAGGATGCTTCTATGTTTTTAAATACAAATTCAGAGAAAATAAATGGTGAAATTATTGTGAATAATAAACTATCGCTAAGTATTGGCGAAGGTTATAATTAAGAATATGACTAATATAATTTATTGACCAAGTATTAAACTATGTACTCGTCTTTGAGTCACCCTAGTTGTACGCAAATCAAAGTAGAGGAGAGTTCAAACCGGCGATTCAGTGAATGAGAGCTAACCAATAACATGGAAACTAGTAAAATTATTCCAAAACCTCTCTATGATTAGAGTATCATCACAGAATGAAATGTAAACTAGTATCTGACAAAATATGAGTGCTAAACACTCTTAGCCTGTACAGTAGATGATTTTACGCACGAAGACATTGGCAAATCAATCCCATAGGGGAACCTACGTCAAGAATTCGAACATGTGAGGAATTAACACTTGGCCACATTTTATCATTCCATATCATTTATTAAACATCATTGGATTCTTTGCTTTACCAATCCAAAACTCGCTCAGATCATTAAGTCCCATTACATAACAATAATAGAACAACACATATAAGCGAACAATTGTTTTCAATTAGATCGTCATCAGGCTTTACTCTAATATACATGAATATTTACACGAAAATTTTAAACCAATCAAGGCAACCACTAAAATTTTCGTATAAATATTCATGTATATTAGAGTAAAGCCTGATGACGATCTAATTGAAAACAATTGTTCGCTTATATGTGTTGCTCTAATTTTCACAATGGGAATCTTTAATATTATAACAATAATAACCAGCATTAGTCCCACGAATTAAAATTATTATGTTTGCGTTTTGTAAATAGCTAATTAACACGAACTAGACGAAATACAAAATAGTCACTCAAAGATGAAAGTGTAAATTTTTAACCTTAAATATCTTTTGAAAACAAGTAATAAGTTTTCTGAATGAAGGTGTAGCAAATAACTTACTTTATGGTTAGTTAACAATTGATCTATTTCCTCAGGTCCAAAGAAGGTCAACTGACGAACCAGTTTATCGGAAATAATACTATCAGGCAAATTTAAAATCTTTTGGTAGAAATTGTAAGGTTTCAGTTTTTCACTCATTAACCATATAGTATCCATTCCACACTCCGAGTTGGGAACAGATTTTCCTAATTTCTGACCATCTGGGGTAGTCAGCAGAGGAACAGTTAAGCCTAATCGATAAAATAATATATTTGGTTGGTTCAAATATTCTGCAATCGATCAAGTTTCATGATTGTCATAAATTATAACTTACACAATACAATGAAAACACCAAGAAAAACAATGATCATAGTCGTAACTCAAAGAACCTAAATCATGCTTGAATTTGAATCAAAGGTATATAGTTTAATTATCATATGCTTCACTAAACGAATCCCGTAACCTTACAGCCTATTCATTATCCCTTATACTTAAGTTATGCTTATATTTTAACAATAGCATCTAAACCAAGCAAAATATTTTATAGGAGCCGACGTTTAAATTTGAACGAATAGTTTTACCATAGTTGTGCCAAGTGCATGAAAGACGTTAGGAGAGTTATATTTGTGAAAACTCAGTGGTAGAGTCAATGATAGCATTAAATAAGTTGAGTAAATTATCATAGTAAATATAAAGTACAAATTGATGATAAGATGACAGGTATAATAATAAACACAGGAATATTAAGCAGTACAACAGCATGAACATGTACATCAAGATAGGAAGTACGTCAAAACTTGTGAAAACAAACTTATTAGGTAGTGGTCAACAGAAATAACGTGATATGAAGTATGTGAACAATCAATTCCGCCATGCGAATGGTAAAGAAATACAAAGAGGTGTGGAAGAAACAAACAAAGGGTGGACAGAATTAGCAAGATAGTCTACTTAGTGGCTGTTGGCAAGATCAATTCTTATTACAAAATCTTGAAGGCATTCCATAAATCACTTTGCATATTTTGAGTCCATATACAATATGACCACTACCGACCAACAGAGATGAGTGTTGATTCTGTCTGACCCTTTTGACAGCACGAAAGATAATTAATTGGTTGGTCAACTTGTCTGGTAGTACGGCCAATCTAGATCAACATAAGTAGTATATAACGGTGGTCAGGCATAGGATGTATTTTAGAATAAGATCAATAAGGAAAGAACGGGAACAGAACATAATTGATATGAAAATGCCATATTGGTAGGTGCAGACTACTTGGTTGGGGTCCGCGTGACTATCGTAACCAATGGTTGGAGACTCTGTGTGACATGGCTCAGAATCCATCACAATCGTGTAGGTGTATACACTCTTTGTCTTCACCTAAACCGTGAGATTAAAATTACCTTATACCTTTCTTTCTACGAACTAATTCCTTCTGTATTATATTCTTAAATGCAATCTTTCTTTTATATATTAATAACACTGAAGTAACCACTAAGAAGCTTATGTTCATCTTGTTGTGTTAATGAGGTATGTTAACTTGAACTGATGCATACATGTGCGTGGTCCTACGTTGTAGCTGATGGCATTGTTGCTTTTGGTAGCACTAAGCAACAATGCCAGAATGTTTGGGATGCGCTTCTCTCCCTCTAAATGCAAGTTGTTGCTTCAGGACTGGTCTCCGTCAACACCTGAACTAAGGATAGGGAGTGAAGTAGTTGAACGCGTTGACAACTTCACTTATCTTGGAAGTCTGATCAGCCCTAATGGGTTGGTGTCTGACGAAATCTCAGCACGGACTAAAATCACTTCATTCTTTCTGTCTACGAACTAATTCTTTCTTCCTATACTATATCCTTATTGCAACCTTTGACCTAACCACTCCTATGAATCCGCTGTTCATCTTGCTGTGCTAATGAGGTATGGCAACCTGGACCGATGCACATATGTGCCTGGTCCTACGTTGTAGCTGACTGACTGACTGACTGACTGACTGTAGCTGACGGACTAACTATCTTCATTGCCTTCTTTGTGTGATACATACTTATGTCGGTGCTCAGTTTTAATGGCATTTATGTATCAAGTAAATACTAAAATATTTTTTTGCTATTTAAACTAATTACAACTTTTCATCACATTAAGTTTCTCAAGTCAATCAGCTTAGATCCTGTTTAGTTTGGGAATTTATCGTGATACCAGTACTGGTACTGTCGTCATACAATCCGCATTTATTTGACTCCAGTTTGCTGGGAAATTAAGCACAGGAACTTACACTGTTATTATACTAAGTTATAAGGTTTTTCTATCTGTTTAAAATGTTGCGTCCCTTTAGACTTGAGTGAACAGAAAACGGAGAGGAGTTACGATGACTGATTGTTATCAGTACATAGATAGTACACAATAAACAGCTGGTCAAAAATAAGCTACACTGGTACGAACGAATATGATAACCAAACTCATTAGAAGTAATACCAGTATTGAAGTAAAATGCAAAGTACTCTCTGAACAAATACACAACATTAGGAGAGATTCCACTTACCAAAAGCACGCCGACCAAGTTTGCGATAGATGAGGTTCAATCCACAAGTTATGTTGCCGATCTGATCATGCCCACCAACCTATAATAAGGTTTATTCGAACTTAATGATGTATACCTGCACATAACAATTAAACCTTTCATGTAAGTATAGGAAGTCTATTGCTTGTACGATTGGATAAAAAAATTCCCCAAGATCCATAGTATTTCCACTTTCCATTCTTATTTTAACGCTAGAAAATGTGATCAGAAAGAGTTAAAATAAACTGATACGTCATTAGGTATGGGTTAGAATAAATCAGTAATCATTCTGATGTAATAACCCTTTAGAGCACTTTAGGGGAGCGGAGTAATTTTTGATTGTTCTTACTTAATTTATAGCATTCTATACTTTGATTTTTAATATGGATGATCTTTTCTAATCTCCCGAAATGACCAACACACTAGCCGCGCGATAACAGAGTATACCATAAAAATTCATTAGGTAAAATCACCATAAAAAGGGAGATGACGCAGTTCTTTTGCATTACCTTGTAAGATACTGGTAGGTAACTTACTTAGGAAATTGGTAGTAACTGTGTTCTATCCGCATTCATCTCCCCGATATTTTGTGAGTTGAATATTATACTGACAAACCCATAATTTAGTTGTTTTTGTCAGGTGACTTTTAAAAAAGAAATAGAAATACACTTATTTGGAATAGACCTCGCAGTACACCAGCCGTTAATTTCCGTCGTAAAACTATAACACCTTTGACCATAAGTGTTGAAACGGTTGTCACCAAGTAACATCAGGAATAACATGGGGAAATCTATTACGTTGGTGAAAATGCTAGGCTAACCTTGGGAAGATCCAACTACTTGTTAGGGTCAAAGGAGGATTTATTTATTTATTTGAACACATATATATTGGTACAGGAGTGCGCCAAATATATATGCGCCACACAAAACAATGAGAATTTAAGAAAAAGAAAAAAGTGGGGAACGTAAAAAAAAGATATAAAAAACAGTAATGAAGAGATTGGTGTAAGGTAGTTTAATAATAATAGTAATAGTAGGGGAACAGAAGGGTACAATCAGAGGATTATAGACTAGTGTGATAAACTAGAGGGTCCTCATCATGAACTAAAACCAGCTGTAATGCCAAGATGCTCCATATCCATATTTATGAATGAATTTCAGACCAAAATCCGCGACTTTCTTGGATCTGATTGGTTTGTTTACAAATTATGGTTCCACTGACCTGTTCACATACAATACAAGGTTAGTATATAATATGATCTTGAATTTGAGATTACACTAAACTGTTAAAATAACAAATACAGGTCTTTAGAAGTCCCTACTAAATTGTAGAATATATTAGACTCGGCACTATACTACAGGAAGTGTATAAAAAAATCAAATATTTTCGCAGTGTTCACCTCCACAATCAAAGGTGCTAGTTGAAGGAAATCGTGACCTACATTGTTTTGCAGATGGGTTAGTGTAGGGCGCTCGGTTGGAAATAAAACTATACTATGCTATAAAATACAGAAGCAGTGTAACGAAATATATTTGTCACCCTACAGGTTCATTTTAACAGGTCAAATAATAAATATATGTATAATGGATGGACCAACCTTTCTTTTTCCAATAATTCAGACAACTTGAAGTGCGGCAAAACTTCGCACAAAACGTCCACCACATTTTTGTGAGTCAGCCAATCGGAATTGTTAACGACATTAACTGAACCTAGCTTTCCAGAGATCGATAATGCTGGGACAATTTGTGTCCAGTAATTATGGATTATCTGATTCAGATTGTGCTCTATGAGACTAGAATTGGAAGCATACTGTTCCAAGGATTGGTATTCACGTTTTTTAGTTCTGCCAGTAGGATCACCCAGGATACTAGTAGATCCACCAACCTTGAGAAAGTTATAAAACTTGAAGTGACTGACATACAACTGCAACTATATCTTTGCCAGATAAGTGACAACGAAGCAAACCACAAACAGCCACAAGGTTTCCCAACTGTAGGCTGTCACATGTAGGATCGAATCCAGAATAAACAGAGAAGTTTCCGGTCGTTTCAAGGTCTAACAAGTATTTTTCACTTGAAATCTATTCTGTTTACGTCATATGCAAAAATACCTCTTATTTGGAAGAATTTCCGAAAAGTAGCCATTTGTAAGGTAGTCACTAATCCTTTTTTGCGAGTGGTAACTCCTAAGCACATGTCCGACAAAACACTCCCTTCGGGACACTAGGTGTAACGCAAACATCGAAACTGCTTGATTCAAACACGTGATTTTCTTAGACAAAAATAGTGATAATCAGGTTCTTCTTCAAAGTTGTAAAGGTTAGATCTTGGTTGAGAAAATTTTTGATTAATGTGTTGATTCTTCGGATTCCTAAAAAGGATAATTGAAATCTAGAGGATAGTATCAGGGATTCCTGCTAGCCATTTTCTTATGACTCTTTGTGCGTCTAGTTTTTAGAATGAACAAATTAAAGGCCCACATACCACTTGTATTGGTTTTAAATCCCATAAATTTATTATTGGGTAGAAAAACCTGTACAATATAAAAATTTAGTCCGTTCGTGGCTTTTGAATCCCCCAGTAATGTCCGCTAAGTTGCCCTGATTATATTGAAAGGAAGATGGGGAACGTGTAAAATAGAAAACGGCTACGGGCCACCACCGAATCATAAATAATTCAGCTTTTAGTGTAGTGGAGGATAGTATAAAGAGCCTTAACCCATCAAATCACTGTTTATGGTGATTTACGCAACTGCTGAATTCCGAGGTTAGCAGTTCCCTGGGTCTTTTCAAGGAACCTTGTAAGAGTATTATGAGGGATTTGTGGAACATATCGTAAACATCTCCTTGTTCTCTCTCGCATAACAAAGTTTTTGAGGCGACTGTGGCTCAACCTTTGGTCACTGTCTCAAGAGTTATCTGTAAAGGTTCTCCGAAACAATTATCGATTGTATGTTCTCCAATTTCACTTCAGAACTTCAGAACGCTTATGAACAAGCAGTTGCGCAATTACCAGCAGTTAACCTTTATTATAATACTGAACCCATATTCACATCACTTTAAAGGTAAGAAGACACTGTTGGGATCCCTCTCACGTAAACCTCTCTGTACGTAAATAATTCTGAGTAGCGCGAGGGAGTAAAACATTCAAATTTGAGGAAGTAAACCTGGATATAGCGTATGATTTGCTGAAAACTGAATATCAATAGAAAGCTATACCTTGAGCATCATAAACAGTGAATTAACTGGATTTTATACATTCATGGATACTCGATAGCTTTTGAAGATTACATGATCTATATGTTCATTTTCTGATGAGATTATTTTATCAGTTCTTCTGATGCTTGGGGTTGCATTATGCTGACTGAATGGCTATACATTATTCATACATGAATCTACTGAACTAACCCATAGTTTATACTGTCTGACAAAACACCGAATCAAAGATGTCTCATTTTCTAAGCATTGTGTGTACGGTCTACTTTCGTACAGGTTTGTCTGTGTTTTCACGCTAGTTCATGAAAGTCCCCCGTTTATGTATTTCATATACCTACAACCCTTTGCCCTTGCTCTAGATTGCAAATTCAATATTTTCACCCTCTCATTCTCATTTTTCGTTAGATTTCAGTTCTTCATAGTAATGTTGTTATTCACTTTGATTACAACTTCTATTTTCCTTACGTCTCATTTATTTGTGAGGTGCTCACAAATTATGTTATATCTATTTTTGATTGACCTCCAATCTTGGCACCTGCCACCATGGTTTCCGGTAGTTGACTACTATTCTTTAAACTGAACGTCAAGACCTAAACGAAAATTACTTGTTTTATCTTAAAAGTTGATTTCTCGATATATCGCGTATAACAGAGCACTAGAACACCAAAACCCTTCCAAGTCGCAGTAAGAAGACAGAAGACTAATGAAAGGAATATGATTCCTACCAGTGTCATTCATAGTACAAAACTGTCAGGTATTTATAGTTTTTAGTGAGAGCGAAATCATCATTACAGTCCTCCAATCCGCATGCAAGGGGTTATTAGCATTATTCAATCGGGAGGATACACGTTAGAATTCTAGAATATTCTTCCGAAGGGTGATTGGATGGAACGTCTTCGGCTCCTTCTGAGCCTTTTACAGCTACCTCGAGTTCACCGGTGGTCCGTCATCACACCTCCCCCCTTTAAAGTCCGTTGTGTAAGATTTTTTCTTGGATCCACCTGAAGCTTGGGTGTCGCCTTCCTCTTGCGGTCCATTACTCTCGAGGGTTGTACAGCTTTTTCTCTGAGTCGTTTGTCTTTTCGATGTTTGCACTTATGATGGCTCTTCTGAGATGAATCTACGAGCAATTGAAATGGGAGCCGGTTTTCTGGGACCACTGTACTATCATATTTTTTGCATTTTATTTGTATGTCATGCATTTTCCGACATCTTTCCGGACTACGTACAGTACATTTCCGATTCGACGTTCTATGACACCTGGTTCCCACTTCCTATTACCCTGATACGATCTGACAAGTACCTTTTCACCCACCTTGAAGCTACGATTTTCATTCGTGGGTTTATTTGTCTTTCTGGGCGGCAACATACTGTTAAAGACTGTCCGGATTTTCCTTCCGAACATACAGTCGGCCGGAGACTTTCGTTCTGGTACTGCCGGATTAGGGGTAACTCTGTAAGACACTAAGAACTTAATGATCACTTGTTCCGAGATACCCTCACCTTCCCCTTTGACCAGAGCTCTTTTTAACGTATCTACGAATCTTTCTGCTTGGCCATTCGACTGAGGATGGTACGGAGGAGATTGTATGGATTATTTGCTAGTTTCGGGGTTCCAGAGATCTTAGTGACCGACAACGGTACTCAGTTTATGTCATCTGTTTTCAAACGCTTTTTCAGTGAAAATGGTATATCTCCTCTTACAGCTACCTCGAGTTCACCGGTGGTCCGTCGTCACAGTACTGGAGTGTTGTTCTCTGATTAACAGGTACATCTTTTTCTTGTCATTGGTTATAACTGCGTTCTTTATCAGTATGCCTACTTCATGTATTGTAGACTGATTTATTTTATGTTTCTGAGCAACCCTGTGAATTGCCTAGCTTGGTGATGCTGTTCATCAAGTTAAACACGCTCAATAGATATTTGTAGTTTTTGTCATTAGAATCGAACCCAGTAAAACTGTTACTTTTTTCTGACATATGGGAAGGAACAAATATATAACGTTTAGCTGGAAGAAATACGGAATATAAAAGGCATCACTCCGGAGTACAAAATTAAGTACTGAAACACAATTAATTGCTGTGGTCAGTCGAAGAACATAAAAAGAGTGATTGTGTGAAGACCGAAATTCCAGTATTTGGTCTGAATGCATAGCAAACGAATCAGAGTTTATCCCATTAGGCCGGAATATGTTCTTCGGTAATAACGTACGAAGCGTTTTTGAGTGACTCGCAATGAAGTATATCAAAATACAAACTATATGCTTAATTTAATCTTCTATAGATAAGGAAAAACACAGATTATATCAATATTCAAAATACCCCAAACAGTACAACCTGTACTACAAATCATAGATTTCTGTAGTACAAAATAACGTGCGAAACAGCAAAAGAAATAGTTAATCTGTAAATACTCGCTATCTGAGTCCACAAAACTCAGTGAGATGGGATCAAGCGATTCGAACAATCGTACCTGGCAGACGGTTACAGGTCAACAATCACCAACGAAATCACGCCGTAACCCTGAGTTTAGCAAAACATGGCTCCATCGTCAGTGACCCAGCAACATCCAGCAGTAACTTTAATTGAGAAAGATTATTACTTAATCAAAGTCAAACTATAAAAGCCTGGACAAGAGACCTCGGCGAAGTTTAGACCACAAGACCGGGAAAAAGAATCTGGAAATATCAACGACTTTCTGTCGAACATTCTGGAGGAATTTTCAGCGTATTCTTTCTGTTACGGTGAGTGGAAAGTTCACTTCGATACGTCCATGTGCAAATATGTGAGAAATCTGTCTATGTATGCTTTTCGGGGCGAATATTAACCTGTCGTTCTACCGTATTTACTACTGCTCCTATTGTAATCTGAATTAAAATTGACTGTTTTGTGTTTTGGAGTTTTATTTAGGTCAGTAGCACGGACGTTTTTAGGGCGAAAGGAAAGAAAAATATGTTTTCTATAAATACTATTCTTATTAGCATGGGATTTGTTATTTGAAAGGTGGGTAGTAGATAAAGAAAACTTTCCAGCAGAAACTACTGTTTTGTTCGCCAAATATCAACATTTTCCCTCTTCCTCGCTAACGTCGTACTCTTTTTTCCAGCAGGTGTACGTTACCATGCTTTCAAGCATCTAATGAGTTCATGTTTTGAGGTTGGAACACTGTCTGTAACACACAGAAAATATTTTCCAACAATTTCTTCGTCATGCTTATACGAGATTGGTCGATCAGGATTTTGTGAAATATCAAGGGTAATGTAGTAGACATCCACTGGTTCTTTAAGCGTCTACGCAGTCACAGTTTTTGTTGTAATGTGCTCTTTGAACCATATAAATTGCTGTAAGTTAGGGTTTACTGAAACGAGTCTAACTTTGTGCTCACTTTTATTCAGGGGTGAGAAACAACTTTGTATTATTTCCTCTTAACAATCTGCACAGACATTTAGAACTGTTTTATGGTAATGATAATTAGTTTCTAAAGATGTACTTTGTAAACGCCTTGACCAAAGTTGTGTTGACTGTTTCAAAAACAATCAACTGGAATGAAACATCTCTTTCTCAAACTGATAAGAGGGCTATATTATTATGCTGGAAGCCTTGCAGATGACTTGCTGCAACACTAAGAGTATCATTTTTAATGACATTTTATGCATCTTACCAATAATATATGAAAATCGAAATCGATACGTTATTTGTAATGAGCAGACTAATTTTTAAAGACGGAAAACTGGATATTTGGCAGGCATCGTCTACATCCTTTATATGGATAAAAGTGCTTTGTTTATTCAACAAGTTCCTTCCTCAACAAATATACTGTTGTATGTAGTTCGAAACGTGGAATCAACAATCAAAACGATAAGTTGTGTCGCATTTGTATTAGATGCTCCTTTGTACCAATATTTGTGTTCAAGTAAATAACAAGTAATGTTCGTAGGGATATTCTCCTCTTTGGCTTCAACATACTTAACACTAACTGGATGAACTTCCCACTTGACATTGATATTTTGACGGTAACTTGCTCTGGATTAAAATTTAGTGTAAACGCTTACATTATCACAGAATCGGAGCGTTCTAACTCCAAATCACAATCATGACCACTATAACTCACTTTCACACATCATTGTAATGATATTACAGATCTTAAAATGTGACATCCCGCTACAAACAACGATCATGCGGAAAGTAACATTTTTGGGACTTTTTGTTTACTCAAGGTTTTGGAGTTTCGGGTTCTGAACGTTATAAGGTCAGGAACCTATGCAAAACAACCATCTCATGATCTATCAACAAGAAAAAACTCAGGACGATAGTGGTGTCTTTTTCAAACGACAATTTTTATGTATTAAAAGCAGAAAGTGATGCGTTCCTCTCACTACATCTATATGAAGACTCAGACATATTAGGTGGAGTAGGTGTAGACAATTCTCATAGGGATAATATGCATGTATCCTTCCAAGTCTCAACTCTCGGAGGGTCGGGAGGAAGTAGAAGGCTCGCCTGACTGTAGACTTGGTTGTCTATCTAGTATAAAAGTTAAAAGACTGGAAATTTTATTCTGGATAGTTTGCCTGGATGCACTGAATCAGGTAATCTTTTGACTCCCAAACAGCAAGATTTTCCCAATGAATTTTTGTGCCAAACTAATCCATTAGTGGCAGGAGCAGACTTGGTGATAGGTCGAGATATAGGTCTCCTTATGAATAAAAAATATATGTATATGTTTCAACAGTGGAGTTGTTATGGTGTTTCACCTGGGACACATTCAGATCTCCAAGTTGTACGGTAAACGTCTGTCGCGGGCTGAAACCGGAGCGTGAGAGTTAGTGAAACTTTGTCTGTACGAAAGCTCGTAAACGGTGACCCATCGCAGGGTACTACCTTGAGTCACACATGTTTCTTACTTTACGTTAACGAACTGTTGATCGCGCATATGTTATCATTACTCTTTTTCGTAAATAACGTTGCATGTGAAGGGTTGTATACAGCGACCTTGATAGGCTAGGGACCCAAACCAATCTATTTGAAATAGTCTGATGGTCAAGAAGTTGATGCCTAAAAGTTAAACCTGTAGCAGTAAATAAATTCCAAAAGTAAACATTTCTCCAATTTCTAGGACGAGAAGTGACTAAAGATGCCATAAGTATTCGGAGTTTGACAACTCTTTAAGCATTTACACCTTTTATAAACGGAATATGACAACTTGGTAAAGTCGGAGGTTAGAAGCGAAGGGGTTCGAAGATATATTTGATATAATGTCGATATATCGAGAAGTAAATAATCTAAATTGACTTGTAGCGTAGCGTCGAGTTGAGGTTAACTATGAACACCGCTACAGAGAAACCCGTGCCAAGTATTTCAGAAGGCGAAGGTTGAACGTAACCAAATAAATCCATAAAATCCGCGAGAAGCCAAATATCAGAAGACAGTTAATGGACCAAATCGAGATATATTCGCTGGCGATCTCGTGGCATCCAAAGGAAACCGAGATCGTGCCAGGATAGAAGCTTGGTTACAGAACGTAACCGAATTCGCGCGCAGTTACAATCAAAGTGTGTGTATAAGAATAGAAGCACAAAATAGCTGTCATTAGCACAGTCAAACAGAAACACGTTAAAACAAACACTAGTACAGTTGGTTATAATAATAATTGTTTTTATTAAACCAGTCGTGTTATCGTGATAAATGTGAGTCACTAAAGACTACTCGTAGGTGACACGTAGCATGGCGTGCCCAATTATGATCTGATGCAAACACATGAACGAGTGCCTTCAGCTAGGTGAGTTCCTAAAAACTTGTAGTTGGTGTCGTGTCGCGGTTGACTATGATCACCACTACAGGAAGACCACGTATCAGTTACCAGGTTAGACACCTCTGTAGGCCAAATATCAGAAAGCACTTAAAGGTCGTAGTTAAGATGTATTTGTTGGGGATCTCGTGGTATCGAAATAATACCGAGGTCGTACCAAAATCCACAAGCGAGACTACTGAGCGTATGAGAGTTCGTGCAAGTTCACAAACAACGGAAGTGCGTTTTGGTACACTTAAGCAGACAGGTACAGTAAAAAAATCACTGGTACAGTTGGCTGTGATAATAATTGTTTCCATTATGCCAATCGCATCCTTTATACTAAGGCGATCATTAACAAATATCGAAGACTTACAGAGCTATTGATCCTGGGAATTTATTTACCGCTACATTATCTTTATTTATATATCGCATATCTTATTTAAGTATATCCACCCAATAAAAACTATTTTTTGCACATGCGAGACTAAAAATCTTGACTGAACAAATCAGTTATTAGATTTCATTTTTCTCATCAAGCGGTCGACGACACGAACACTATACCCAAACAAATTTTGACAATCTTACGTTTGAGCAGGCACAGGATTTTTGACAAAAAACATCTCTCAGAAATCATCACAGTTTAGTTTGGCTACTGTCCTTATTACCGATGACTAACGGTTGGTTGAATGTTTTATGGAAGATTGAAGAGCAATTCGTTACCAGCTTTTGAATGTGTGAGCTACTTGGTAGGTTTGTACAATATGTTCTTGTTTCAGGCATATTGCGGTCAGTATACATGTTTTATGAACAGTGGGTAGCTAAAAATTCATATTGTCTTTTGCCACTGTAATATACGACTGTTGTGAATCAAGGTATCTTAATAACGGTACTCTTTAGTACCTCTTTTTCAACTGTATCTGTTCGTACTTTTGGTCCTAGCAATCTACAGCTCCTCACTTTTTTTGGTCATTGATATTTTTTTTGTTTCTGGGTATCATCGCATATTGAAAAAACCCCTCCTAAATGACCGGACAGTGTAAAAAAAGCAGTTGCCAACGTCCGGGTTGTCGTTATCCTGTTGAAAGCGGCATGCAGTGCGACGAGTGCAAAGGCTGGTACCACGAAGTTTGCACGAACTTAACGCCTGCTGCTTTCAAACGGTTCAGTAAGAAGGGTTGTGTGTGGCTTTGTCAACAGTGCTGCTCGGATGCAAACAGCTTGTTAACCGAGGCCATCTCACTGGTTGATGCTGCAAAGAAGTGTTTTAACAAGCATAGTCGGAACGCGTCAAACAGCACTCGATCTGTTGACACGCAAATCAATGTGAAGGAAACTAAGGTGAGTCCGGTGATAGATGACTCACGCCCGTCAAAGAAGGGAAAGCAGTCTCCAAAGGGGCCTGCCTTAAAAAAAAGCTCAAGAAAAGTAGGGTCTTCTGTTCCCCGTATCCCAGATGGGATCCAACAGGAAACACCTAGAAGCGGCAATCGCAAGGCTCGATCGGTTTCAAATGGTAAACATAACACGACCCCTCAGGTCGTCGACAACCCCCCAAAACCCAACACTAGGTTTGACGCAACTGTTATTGCTTCTACCAGCACCGTTGACGAATGGGTAAAGGTTGTAAGGAAGAAAAGTATTGATAGAAAAGAGAAACCTGCCCCCGTAAAAGTGGTTGAAAAATCGAAAGCTGATCATAGCGACAGATCAGCTATTTTTCATAGAATTAAGGAGAGCGATAGCTCTGAACCTAAAGCTCGTTTTGAGCATGACATAGTACTGATTAGGCAGCTGCTTTATTGATGTGGATAAAAGACTTCTTAGTTGGGCGTCAACAAAGAGTAAGGGTGAACTCCAGGTTATCTAGCTGGGAAACTGTGCTTAGTGGAGTGCCCCAGGGTACAGTTTTGGGGCCAGTGCTATTCCTCTTGTATGTAAATGACCTTCCTTGTCTCCTATCATCATCGGTCTTGCTATATGCTGACGATGTCAAGATATGGAGAACGATACAATGTAAGAGTGATAGCTTAAAACTTCAAAATGACCTGAAGAAGTTATCTGAATGGTCTCAAACATGGCAGTTGCCGATAAATACTTCCAAGTGTGTTGTGATGCATATCGGTCATCAAGGCACAGATACATACACGATGAATAACACTGAGCTACCTGTCGTCCAGGCATATAATGACTTAGGAGTTATCGTTAGTCAAGACTTAAAGACTACTGCACACTGCCGTGCAATGGCCGCCAAAGGTTTTAGAACGTTATGGTCAATTCGTAGGGCTTTTAGTCATGTCGACGCTAAGACGTTTTTGACTTTGTATACAGTGTTCGTTCGTCCTAAACTTGAGTACTGCATACAAGCGGCTAGCCCCTGCTTTAAAAAAGACAGTGAGCTTCTGGAAAAGGTTCAGAGAACGGCGACTAAGCTGGTTCCCGGAATAGCGAAGCTTCCGTATGAATCTCGACTGGCCAAGCTGAACCTTTTCCCGTTGTCATATCGCAGAACTAGAGGCGACTTGATTACAGTCTACAAATTGCTTAGTGATAAATTTGCACCTGATATGCCCTCATTTTTCTTGTCTTCCAAAACAGAGAATTTACGAGGACACTCCAAAAAAGTTCACAAGCCGAGAACAAATTACTTGTCAGCTGACTATCGACTTTCCCATCGAATCATCAACGAGTGGAATTCACTACCTCAGCACGTGGTTGAGGCTCCATCCGTCGACTCTTTCAAAAGAAAGTTGGATCAACTGAGAGACCACCATTGCCAGGACTAACATAGGCCATTGAGCCTCCTGTCCTTCCCAAACTGAAACTGAAACTGATATGTTAAATAACCGATTGTGAACTTTCCAGAGTTGCCATTTTCATGAAAATTTAAAGGAGACCCTACTTGGAATTTTTCGAAAGCTTTGGGCTACTAAAACTGAGGTCACTTGCTTTTGGGTTGGGGTACTTCCTGGTATGCAGAAACGTTCCCATTTTCCTTTATAAATCCATAGGATTTCCGCAGTTAGAATTATATTTTCGCTAGCTCCACAGTCATATGATAATTGTCCACTCCTCTCTTTAGAAATTTTAAGGTTTATTCAGTAGTGCTGGTTTATACCCTTACCTACTCGATATTCAATTATTTGATAATTGACAAATACCCACGAATAAGTAGACAATCTTGAAAAGAAGAAATATATTATGGTGACCGATAAGTTTCATCGATGTGTCGGAACTTAATTTTTCTGAATAATTCGGTATATTACATCAAAATTGTGTACCACGACAATCAGGATAATGAGGAAAGATTATTGACACTTTATATTTGATTACACTGAATTACGTATTCAGACAACATGAAGTTCAGACCTCGCATTTATAGGTGATAGTTATACAGCAACATTGGTTGATTTGTTTGTTACAATTTGTAGTAGTCACGGTACTCTGAATAAAGTGCAAAATCATAATTTATGACTAAACAATATAAATTCGAAAATTACCAATATAATGTGCAAAAGTGGTGCAAATTGGAAAAATGTGTAGTGTAATGAAGCATACTAAGCTTCTTAATTCACTTCATAGAACGTTGCCTCGATGAACGGTGTACACAATCAGACAAAAATGTGAACAATGTATACTTTTAATGACAGAGTTCATTTGGCAAGCATCATTATAAATTTACTAAAATTGCAAAAGTCAAAGATTTGTATGCAACAGTTTATTTTTTTTGTCAGTAATGTTTACATATGCTACTCAATTTAGTGTAGGGTGGTTGGAAAGGAAAAATAAACAATGATTGGTAATTTAAAGATTAGTCCAATTGATGAATTTGGATAATGCAGCACACAGTTTATCAGAATTAATTTAGGCAGTGATAAAATACAGTGCAACAATTTTGAACATAACTTGTTAAGAGGCGCATATATTTAAGGATAAAATGTTAACTAGATAGATTGGGAAATTTATTCAGTTATTTGAACACAAACATTGGTAAAAGGGGGCACCAAATACATATACACCATACAATAACAATGAAAATTTTAAGTATTGGAGAATAAAGGGACAGTGTTCCAGCCCTCACACAAACTGAAAGATGAAATGTAGCACATATATATTTGATACCTTTTTGTAGCAATGTTTGTGTGTTTAAATAAACAAAAATCAATAAATGAAACAACGACGGTTTGCATGATATTTGGGTTTTGGTGAACTATGAACTTTGATTTTTCACTAATGATAAACTTGTCCGCTTCGAAAGTTATAATAGTTACTAATTGAAATCTTCCTTTTAGCACAAAACCATTTGCGTCGGTTTCAGTCAGTCAGATACAACGTAGGACCACGCACATGTATGCATCAGTTCAAGTTAACATACCTCATTAACACAACAAGATGAACATAAGCTTCTTAGTGGTTACTTCAGTGTTATTAATATATAAAAGAAAGATTGCATTTAAGAATATAATACAGAAGGAATTAGTTCGTAGAAAGAAAGGTATAAGGTAATTTTAATCTCACGGTTTAGGTGAAGACAAAGAGTGTATACACCTACACGATTGTGATGGATTCTGAGCCATGTCACACAGAGTCTCCAACCATTGGTTACGATAGTCACGCGGACCCCAACCAAGTAGTCTGCACCTACCAACATGGTCAGGATCAGGAGTTAGTGACCTCAAGAAGTGATGCCACGTTTTCGTTTGGCCTCCCCAGTCAGCATTGTGCGTCATGGTAATCGCTGTTCAGGAACACGTAATACTTGACCCAACCACCTCAGTCGATGAAGATTCACAACCTCATCAACTGATTTACCACCATTCCATAATACTCTACATCTAACCTCACTATTACTTACTCGGTGATCCCAGCAGATGCTGGCAGTATTTCTAAGACATTTGTGGTCAAATACTAGTAGCTTGCAAATATCTTCTACTCTTAATGGCCGCGTTCCACAGACTCAGCTGTTCCCCTCTACCATGAGGACAGTTTCTACCGTATTACAAATTCCATGATCTTGAAAATCATGCCTCCCGAGTTAAGTGCAAGGATATCTTGTATTTATTTCGAATATTGTGATTGACTAGTTGGACGAGACGAAATCAACGCTAAACCATACCAATTAATATCCCTAGTCGGCCAGACTAGTGAGCTAGTTGATATCCATAATGACCTACAAAGATAACCCTCTATCACTGGCTTTTCTTTTTTGCTTGAAATCATTCTTAACATTCCTCTCTTCTATGGCAACTGAAGGGCTGCTATCGATATATCATTTACTTAATTAAGAAAAGTTGATAAGCTGGTTGATGAGACGGAGACTTGTCATCTAATGAAGTAGTTAGGTATTTCACGTATTCTCGACCATTTCCGAACTTAACATGTAATGTTGGCTGGGATAGGGAAAAGTTCGTGTTATGTCTTGTGGTTTTGTGCCGTATTATTGTATAACGTAATGATACCCTCAATTAGAGAACAGTAATTTATCGACCGGACCAATGATGCATAAAACCCATGCGAGCAGTCTAGAGTCTTTACCGGTCCTTCTACTTGTGTTCATTGCCAAAAATGATGAATATCAAATGCTAATTTTAGCATTGTTATTGTTTTAGATGACGGTGTATAACTTATATATATATGGAAAAAATGGTGATAACCTATTTTACCGTGAATGGACTCCAACAAAGCAAGGTGAATGTCCATCTGATAACGACTTGAAGTTGATGCGTGGTATGTTAATTGGTCTAAAAGGATTTTGTCAAAAAATTTCACCGTTGGACTACGAAATTAATCGTTTTTCTTACGTTACTAACACATATCGTCTTCATTTTTACGAAACCCCTACACTAATGAAAATTGTTCTTACCACTGACAACTCTTGTGCACCAATGAATGATGAACTTGAAGGGATATTTCAAATATATACAAAATACGTTTCACAAAACCCGTTGATTAAATCCGAAGGACCTATTAAAAGTCAGGTTTTTTCTGAAAAACTTGATCAATATGTTCAGAGTTTGCCTGTATTTAACAAATAAATAACTTTTTTCCAGTTGTTTCATTTTAGCTATTTTCACTTTTTCTGTTTCCGTTAAATCAATGATTTACTTCTTACAGGTTGTAATAGTGTTGTGATTGTAAAAGAGGGTTTAGCTATACAATGTTTACAGCTCTACGTACAAATCCATCAGATGGAGAAGTCATAGTAACTGACACATTAAATGCACCTGTTTCCACATGTATTACAAATGTTATCCCGAATTCTATCATATCAAGTGGAGTTGGCGAGGAGGATAACTATTTAACAGGTCATTTAATGGGTGAATACACTGGTCCAGTTGAATCCGTTTTACCTCGAGAATTCAGGCAAAGACTTCATAAACATTTTGCTAGAATCGAACGTGAATTTGAACGAGAGTATAGAAGGTTATATAGCGAAAACTTAGCATGTATGTAAACCAGTTTTATCTTTAATTTCACACGTAGTGTTCCATTTTTTTCATCAATTATTTTTTGAACATATTTCATAGTGCCCCAGAGATAACATGAAATCTAGTAGTAACGTTTTGATTATTAGTATTTAGAAGTGAGACAACTTATCATTTTTAAGCTCTGAACGATTATCTAAGTTGATAATCTAGGTAAATTTTTGTTGAATTGGCAAGTTTATTACGGGGATGATGGATATTTATTAATAATCAAGTCAATTAATATCGTTACTTACGGGCGGTTGTCAAGAATGAAATTATTTCTTAGTCGAAATAATCATATTTGAACATTTCTACGAAGTAATCTTCAGAAACTAAGACCATTACCAAATAGGTTTATTTCTGCAAAAAAATAAACATTTGTATAAATCATACCTTTTTAATCTTCGATATATCTAAGTGAATAACATTTATAAAATTAATTATGAAAGAATTCCAACTTTTCTCACATACCATCTACACATATATTGAATTACTTCAGTTGTTAATAATAGAAATCGTTTAGTGTTATGCTGTATATCCCTTCCCATGAATTTTAGTTGCATAGTAATACAAAATAGATTTATATGTTGCACCCAATTCCTGATTTGTACTCGTACCAATTAAGATTCCTTTGTTTGTTCAAATATCTTTTGGATCACCAATCTTCTAGAGCTAATATGCAACTCCGGCTAGTATTATTATCATTATTATTTGATCGCAAACATTGGTACAAGGGGGCACCAAATATATATGCGCCACACAAAACAATGAGAGTGGGAAGAGGAAGGTAAGGAGCGTAAAAGAAAGAAAAGAACAATAACGACCAGATTGGTGTAAGGCAGTGTAATAATAATAATAATAATAATAATAATAATAATAATAATAATAATAATAATAATAATAATAATAATGGGGGAAACGGAAAGGTACAACCAGAAGAAATCTTTCAGCTAAAGAAGATGCAACCACTTTTCTATGAAGAAAGTAAAAGAACGTTACAGCAGGATCACCACTGGTTTCTATTCTGAGCCATATCTGATAACGTCTCTAGCCACTGTGTCGCACCATCTCTTGACCCCAGCCTGGGAGCCGTGAAGGACCAACAGAAGCCAGCCCGTTGCAGCTTTCTTTCATACCCCGACACCGTGTCATACGTTGACCACCTCTCCGCTTCTTCCAACCAGTCCCACCGTCAGCAAATAATGCATGATGTGGAATTCTCTGGGACGACATTCGTAGAACATGTCCAAGCCACCGAAGTTGATGTTTCAAGATGGTGACACCAAGTGGATTATCGTCTCTGCTCCCGAACACACGATGCTGAACCTCTGCATTACTGACATGGTGTTGCCACTGGGTGTCAGCAATCCTTCGGAGACAACGATGATCAAACACAGAGAGTCGTCTAACATCCTCAACTCGGAGAGGCCAGGTTTCACAAGCATAGAGCAAAACTGCTCCCACCGACGCGTTGTAGATCCGACCTTTTACAGCCAGACTAACATCACGAAGGCGCCAAAGATGGCCCAGATTGGCATAGGCCGCTTTGGCTTTTACTATATGTGTATTGATCTCATCATTCACGCCACCACCAGCTCTTATGCGGCTACCTAGATACACGAACTTCTCGTCTACTTCTATATGCTCACTGGCTAGTAGAGTGGTCAGCACAATCATCGAAAACCATGTTGTTAGATTAGGTATGGGTGTGAACCCTATTGTCATATTTTTGTTTAGTGTTTGTAAATTGCTACTTTTTGTAACAACACTTAAAAGAAAAGGGTAAGAGTAGTCAATAAAGACAAGAGGATGTTAAATTTAATAAATCGGGCTTAAGTCAATAAACGGGATATTATTAAGAGGGATTTATAGATTTAAAAACTCGTTCCACATCGTTATCATTTATCGATCGCTGATTTCAGACTATCTGGACTTCGCCAATCAATGATAGCCTGTGTTTATCTCATATATCAGTTTGTCAACACAAGCTGCTTTTATTCTACTCGAAGTTTGATCGCTATTTTAATCCAAGTTAGATAGTACCTTTACTTGAGTAAAACAGCCTAACCGATTTAGGCTGTTTAAAGATCAGCTACCTTATCAATTTTTTTACTTTGTCATCCAGACTTCACCAAGAATTAATAGTACATTCCTTATTTCTGGTGAAAGCGTAGAAACGCGGGTCTTTCTCAATAATGAGTTAGATTTTTAAAGTAGTAATCGGAAAATAAGTTGGTAATAGTGCTATGGAGTAAGTCCTTAAAAATATTTCTACATATATTTGAATTTCTACATAAATGTTTGTAGGATTTGTTTGGCCAGTTTTGTAATTAGCTTAAAAATCAACAGATCGGTTTATTATTATTCAAATGATTTCATATTTCTTACACATATTTTCATCTCATTTGAATTGAATTATTCTGAGTGTTGTAAACATTTGTAAAATGTTCATTAATTTTAACTTTTCATCAAATGTTTAAAAACTTAAGTAACACTTAACTTTTTGTCGATTAAATATATCAGAATGGGTTTTGTGGAGATTTTAGAAATTTCACAGATTGAAATCATGAGTCATTTGAAGCTCGACCACCATTGAAAACCTGGAAGCACTGGACGGCCGTTTCGTCCTAGTATGGGACTCCTCAGCAGGTTTTCAATGGTGGTCGAGCTTCAACTGACTCATGATTTCAATCTGTGAGATTAAATAAATTTTCTTTCTATTCAACAGTGAATATCTTGGTGACTTATTTGTACTCTGTTTAATCTTACAGACTTAATTTATTCAGAATGAGGTTACAAAGGGGGAAAGTGATTTTCTTACAGTTTATCTCTTAACTTTTTAAAATCAATTTTGTTGTAGTACTCTACATTCGGTAGGATTTTTTTTTGTGGAATTTTACATTTTACAATTTCATAACTAGAAACAGTATTTATTCAAGTTTACTTGTTTAGTACAAATAAGAAAATTTTCATCAAATCAGTTATTTTCTTGGGATGAATCTGAACACATTTCTCATATATTAACTAATTTTAAATCTTGGCTTTAAAAAAATTGTTTCTGTGTCTTCCATACATAGCTTTTTGCCTTTATTTTTTTCATTTTTGTCACAATATTAACATACACATATGTATACATAGAAACATATTTTAGATGAATATTTAAATATACTTCTCAATTAATGCTATTTATTAAGGCTTAATTTTTTTGTACGTTTTCTACTCTTATTTACTAACTCAATATATTCAGGAGTTCTTATTTTATTATGATTATAGCTGAATCGATTTCGATTAAAAATAATTCTGTTGGAACACACTTATTATGTAAATTTTATTTTAAATTTTTAAGTACAAGAACGTTTGGAGAAATTTGAAGATGGTGATCATTCAGAAACAATAACCTTGGTAAAAAAATGTAAGTTTTACATTTTGATAAATTCTTTATAGTTCCATTAGTTTCCAAGAGGATACTTTCTTGTACTATGTTGTGTTTATTTTTATCTTTAAAGAAATCCATTGATGAAATAAGAGCTTTCGATTGTTTGTATAAAGTAACACTGACTAACAGACCCGTGATAATAACATTTGACCTGATTTGAATCCGTTACTGAGATAGAAGTAATAAATACAACTAAAGAGTACCGAGAACTGTTCTATGTTGTCTGAGTCTCCACAAGCAAGAGTCGTAGTGTCAGTAACACTATGTATAGTTTTGGCGGCAAGCGTAATGTCTGAGGTTTTATGTGGAACACTTTTGAAAACATTCTTGTCTACTAGTTTTCACACCAGCGTCCACCAAACAATCCTGTGCTCTATGTTCGGCGAATACTGGCCAACATAAAATCAAACTTACGACGGAATTTCGGAGCACTAAATTTCCTACAAGATACGTGACCTATATGCTCTGGTACGGCCGAGAGTGGAGAGAGTTAGCTCTTCCTCTCGAAATGCTCTCACATGGCCACGCGTATACAGCCACTGCCAAGGAAGTCCTACTCACCGCCTTCTCACGGCGGCGATGTTGTTTACGAAATTGTGAGGACGAAAAGGGAATGTCCGGTGCTTTAACCGGGTTGGTGGACACGGATGGCCCACCTAGGGGAACTGGGAAACCCTGATTCCAAACAAATGGTGTACATGGGCTCCAGTATCCTGAAGGAAAAATGGCGTATGAACCAAGTGTTGATCACTGGCTACCATGGGATTGCATCTCATTACGTCGTTCCGTTGCTTTGTGAATCAGACCTTTAAGTCAAGGGCTCTGGGTGTGGCCTCTGAGAAAACTACCTGCTTCTGTTTTGGAACCCGGGCAGTATCACAGCCCTCACACAAATCAAGTGACTTGTGTGGCACATATGTATTCGGTGCCCCTTTCTACCAATATTTGTGTTCAAATGAATAAATAAATAACATGACCCAGACAAACACCAGATTTGGGGGTTGAGGGTTACATTCTGATCACGCAATAGATTAAATTTCTTAAAAATATACGGCAAACAGAGTGTCTTATCATTGTTGGGTAAGACTACCGTTTTTCAACGACCTTCAAAATATGTGTATGAGATAACCGTCATGCTATAAATTTACTACTAGTTGGGTTTAAAACATTTGTGTCCTTCATATTTTGCATGTTGTACGGAAGGCGTTAAAACGTACTGGGGAAGCACAGAATGTTTTGTTTAGATTGTGAATGCACAGTTTTACTGTTACTGAACCTCGTCGTTCTGTAGTTAGTTGGGTTTCAATAAATTCCTCTTTAAATGAAAGATTTTCTATATAAATATTCAGAACGTATCTTGTATGCTTTGTTCTTTCATATAATTTTTTGAATGTTACATTTTTTCACTTATTAGTAAGTGGGTTTCCTATATATTAGTAATAAATATAACCATCTATTGAATGTGTTGTTGTCTGTAAACCCGGTGGACTGGTTTGTTAAGCTTTCATTGTTCTTCTGATCAACATTGGCACATACTTCAAAGAGAAATGAGCTATTAGAATTTCTCTATGTTGATCTGAAAATTTGATTACTTGTTATCTATAACTGTATAATCTTTTCTTGTCTGTTTTCTTTAACGTTTTTCTCTTCTGATCTGAAATATGACTTTATGGTTGTTGATAACTTCTTATTGACTGATAGATTTGGCTAATTTCGATTTGTCTGCTGATGATGCTTGGTTGAAGTGCCAAGCTTTCAAAAATCCCCTTGTTTTTCTAATATTTCCTTTATCAAATACTTTAACGTTCTCTTGGTCGAACTCATGTTCACAGTTATCTACATACATTGATGTTATAACGCTACGTTTTCCACGTCTACACGGATTGGACGTTAATTTGCTTTAGACGAATATCTACATTAGATTCCCTCTCAGTGTCTATTCTACAGAGCTTCAACACAACTCAGATCAAGAACACGTGATTAGCCTGACTAAAACGTAAATATATTTCCACGCCCAAAGCCGACAACAGCTCTACACAACCCAACAACAATACAATAATAATAAGGGTAAGAGAATATGCAACTCATCTAGCACCTGTCAGACTATCTACAACTCTGACTAAGCAAACAACCAATCATTATCGTCTTCGCCCACACGTCAATTGATATCAGCGAAACTATGTTGCATCGTTTAACAAATAACTGGTGTTCGTATAGACGTAGACGCAGAGGACAGCCAATTCGTCCTACATAATGTTTGTCACAGTTGTAGCAAGTTATCTTGTATATGATCTCTGGCTTGTCTCAGTTGGTCGTTATGTCCTTTGGTTTGTGTTATATCCCGACGAGAATAATGAATGGTAAATGTTGCGATCTACTTATTGACTAATACTATACATATATTTTTATTGTATAGTCGTTAAGTAACTAAACCACGTATATTCGTATTCCTCTTATTATAAGCTTTATTTTGACCTACAGACTTATCATACAATTCACTATTCTTAAGTTATGCCTAGTTTATTAATCACAGTTTCCCACAATCATAGTCACATTTCGGCTTGGTCTTTTGCAAATGTTATTTTATATTTCTGGTGTGATGTGGTCTGTTTGGCTCGTATATAAACCGAGTGTTTGAAATATATGATTTATATCGCGGTGGCTGAGATGTGTTCTGGATTTAACAGGCAAGGAAAAGGATCAATCGGGGCTCTAGGCCGTTCGTTCAGGTGTATGTGTCATTTGTTGGTCGTATAAGTCCGCGTATCTAAATTTGGCAATCATATTCGCGGTAATCGTATAAGTTAAGGATATAACAGTTTGCATAAAATTGTTTGCAGCAATTTTATTTGCTTATGGGCTACACTTATTCTTAGTCGTCTTAATAATCTGTTATTGGTCCCAGAGATGTTCTTAATGTAGTGTAAAACTATTCGTTCGCTGATCTTTGTTGTTGGTTGTGTGTTAACCGTCGGTTCCATAAAGATTCTTTGGTGAAATTTTGTAGATAGCTATTTTTTTCGAAATAAATCCATTAAGTATCTTCTTTCATTTCTCTACTTCTCATGGTAGTTAAGTAGGCTTTTTATTATGTCGGTTTGGACAGCCGAATAGTGTCATTAGACCTCATATTTCGAGTGTGAATCGCGCCCAAGTACCTTGTAAATTATTAAAGTAATAAATTACTTAATTGAATTGGCGTATCATTAATTTAAAAATATATTAGGTTGATGCCTAACCATGAAGCCATTCATTGTCAAACTAGGTGATATATTTGATCGAAACTTCGGAGAACAGTAAACTTTATCTTCCTCGACAATTCATGTACCATTTTTTCTTAATGATTGTAAATATGAATAGTTATAATGGAAAGTAGTCTCATCTCTGGTTGAGTATGCATTCCAGTCTTTTGTTTTGGTAACTTACGCTTTGAAATTTCATCCATTTGTTCTTTTACCCTATTAGTCAGTATATAAAGTCTTCGTAAATATATTGATCGACTGTCAAGTTACAAACAGTAAGCTTTTGATAAACGTCTAACCTTGAATAAAATAGTAAAAGACTAAAATATTCACCAGTAATGTTCAGCTTGTTGCTCACAAGATCGCCGTAATTTATGGTGGTTTAGTATGCAAACATTTACACTATGGTAAAAATAGGTAAAGGTTCAGTGAATATACGTTAGAATTGCTAATTTCATCAAACCTTTTTTAGATATAAATCTTGTAGATCTATAGTTTTGTTTGTCGAAGATTCACTTTTATGTCAGAAGATTTATTCCCTTTTTCAAAGATTGTTTGTAGTTTCAGTCGTTAATTTTTAAAACTTCATGTTAATACTTTTGTCCATTTCTTACATAGTGGGGGCAAGTATGTTGTCACAGCGTATCAAACAACAATATAAACAATCCACATCTCGTCTAGTTTCAAGTCTTCGTCAATCTACAGGTCATTCTTCCAGTAATATAGGTCAAGGATGCACATATTCGGTTACCCAACCAGGAATAACAGCTACAACTTGTGTTGGTGTAACTTCAAATACTCTTTCTGTTGCCGTCAATAGTCCGTTAAATTATTCAGGGAATATTGCTTTGCCTAGTGGTGGTAGCACAACTGGACATGGGACAGCCATTTTTGCTGGAAGCTTTTCAGGACACAATGGAAATTTCCAGTTGATGAATCGAGTGGCTGGACATAGAGATGGTATATGGGAGGTTACTTCATTCAGGAGGTTTATTGCGACTGCATCTGCTGACAATACTGCTCGTCTTTGGATTAACGATGGTCAATTAAAGTAATAAGATATGGTGATTATATTTAATTTTAAATACATCTATTGTATACATTGATCATTTGATAATATCCCTATCATTGTTGCTTTGCAATTTTGAATTTGTGTTGTATGGTATTGTTTATAGATGTATAGCGCATGGTACTATATAATTGGGTGGAGAACTGAGACTTTTCTACTTATGTCTATTTCATTATCGAATCCTTCGACAATACAAATCGGTCCCAAGTTTGAGTTTAGAAATACATTAGCCTGAATTTGAACGAATATGATTCATGGGTTAGTCGAAAGAAATGACGTTCATTTTTAGAATTATGCACAAGTAAACAAGTGCGTAAACAAACAGTTAAATCAATTAGAAATTTAAGTTTTCAAATGTAAATATTAACAAGTTGATGGATATCATTGATCAAGTTAATGTGGCATATATATACAATATGTCCTGAATCGTTCATTGTTTAAGTTACTTCTTATATTAGTGTATTTTATTATGGGGCTCCTCAGTAATGGTCATCCACGACCCCACAACTAGGAATCAAACCTGAAACCTTCGACCTTGTGGAAGAACCACTTAGCAATACCTAATGTAGCACAATTCTAGCTTCAATCAATCCATGATATTGCCCAACCATCTTTCGTCGATCTCGCTGGATATCCTTTTCACACTCGGAATGGTTCTGGGTTCTCTTCTCGGTTACGGGGTCGTGAATGCACACTGTTGAGGAGCCCCATATTAGAAGGAAATGGCTGCACAGTGCTTTCATACTTTTACAGGTTATCATAGGTTGATTCGTGATCTTAATGAAATCCGATAACCTCCCCAACCCTAAACTGACAATTCTGTTTTTCTTGGTACATACAATCTAATATCATCAATTGCCAACTACAGAAACTGTATTTGATCTTAAGATTATGTACGAATATCTAATCACTAAGTATAGGTACTTAATAGAACGTAAGGTCACTAGTGTTTCCGAATTTTATGTATAATTTTAGTATATGCACTCAGATATGTGAAAATATTTTACATTTATTCTATGGTGTCACTGATTTAATTAGTCATTTAACATTCAGATGCTAGATATACATTGAAAGGTCATTTCATGTGCTTTAATCTTTGCATATAGATAATATTTTTAACTTAATCATTATGACAAAAATCACCCCAGTTTCAGGTATTAACTTCCACTTTTTATTCGAACAACATTGTAGTAGGGTTTCATCATCATGACTCTGATAACTCTATATAAATATATTCATTCCTTTCTTACAAACATTTATGTGATCTTATAACGAAATTTTTCTCTCCATTTTTAAAAAATTATTTTAGTTGTTTATTAGTCTATATGGGTCATTCAGGTTCAGTAAACTCTGTTCGATTTCGAAATAAAGACAGTTTAATGTTAACATCTAGTGGAGATGGAACTGCCCACCTTATTCGTTTGCCATTTGATTTAATAACTAAAGCTGCAACTTCACTTACAAGTGGAAACACATCAGGAGCTGCATTGGATGCCGTCGCCTCGGCTCTTGCTTCAGAAACTGCTGGAACAAGTCCTATGGGTTTGGGAATGAGTACAATTTCAGGTTCGTGATATTTTTATAGTTGGAATCTTTTTTACGCTAAACAATAACTAAATGATAATAAGAAATTTAGTGTTACTGTGTAATAGTTTTGTGGTGCTCTTGGGAGGCTTTGATTGTTTAACCAACTTAATGAATGTCAACTCTAGACAGAAGTGGACTTCTTTCATCCCTTCACAAATATCATACCCAAGTACGTCTTTCTTGATAATCTTATTTATTGCTACATTTGAAGCGAAAGTTAATAATGATATTCTCAAACTAATTCAGCCCACAGATCGTTTAATCTACTTCAAATATGCAGCTACTTAGATGAACTTAATAAATATTGTTTGGATATTTGTGGTACATATCCTAAATGCTTTATTTTGACAGTTATAACGTTATTTAAAGGTGGTCAGCCAGTTCACGTAATTATCTGGCTATTTTAGTTTTCATGATAAGTAACGTGATAGTTTTGCGTACTTGTATTATTCGCACTTCAAATTTATTGTTCCTTCCAGCGTAATACTTCGACGTGTACAGATTCATTGCTACGCTAAATTTTTGTAGATTAAGACTAAGATTTCCCGTATTTGAAGCACTGATAATATAACTTGAATTTTGGGCATAATTTTTGTAGCACGACTGACTTGAGAAAAAACAAAATATCCTAAATGTCCATTATCTGTGTTGGCTGTCTTGGGGACGTGTGCATTTTTTGACTGTAGCAACCAATCAAATTAGTCTTAAGACTTGAAACTACTGTTACTTTTATGAGTAGTTTGGAACGTTATGCTCCAAAAAGCTTCGGATCGTATGGATTGATCTTATCGTCAGAGGGCTGTAACATTCTAATCTACCTTCGTTTCTAGTTGGTAAGTTCAAATAATGTCTAGAGTCTACCAACTAAACAACTTTTAACTATAGGCTTAAGCTGTTCAGCTACTCAGTTTTCAAGATATTCAATTTGCACATTTTAGATAATGTAATATCCTTTTATATCTATCTTTTAAAATGTAGGAACTGCTATCAAGTCAGGGATTGATCCGGTTGGTTCGTATGATTCAGATGAAACGATGAATTTATTAGTTGGTTCTACAGAAGAAGGTAAATCTAATAACTAATCCTATTTTTATTCTCTTTTTAACCTCATTCAAGTGTATTGCATAAAATTACTTTTTTCTTCGTTAATTGAATTTAAATATTTTTTGTTGTTCTGATCATTTAATGGTAAATATCCTCCAGTTCGCATTGCCGCTATCCCACCTATCGCTGTTCGACATCCTCACGCAATATTTCAGTCTGCAAACTTATATTTATCATCATCTGGTACAGTTTGGAATTCTACTGGTGCTTCAGGATGCAATGTTATCGACTCATCACCTTTATCTGCTGCTGATTTTGTTTACGGACGAGAACAGTTAGTGACAGCATCGTGGGATCGTCTAGGTAGAACATATGATCTTGCAACTGGACAAGAGCTAGAATCACTTACGGGACATGATGATCATTTGACAGATGTACGTTGTGAACCAGGTGGGTTTCCTGTTGTTGTCACGTCGTCAAGGGATTGTACATTTCGTTTGTGGGATTTTCGTCAACCAGGAATGCGGGTTCATGTTCAACAGGCCCATAGTCAGTAAGTTGTCTTTCATATTTCAAATACATACTCTGTTTCGTTGACCTAATTTACTTGACTTCATTTTTTATGTTTATGTTTTTTTGATTTTCTTTTCATATTTTCATACTCTTTATAAAACAACAGAACAGTTTCAACCACACAATTTTTGGCACCCGGTTCTCCTGAACGTCTTATAAGCGCTGGTGCTGATAGGTTTTGTCGTATTTGGGACTTGAGACAAAGCCGTGGTCCAGTTGTTAGCATTAGAACCGATGCAGCAATCAATCGCTTGGGTTTGTCTGGTTATGGACCAAGTGTATCATATCAGCCAACAGAAACAATTAATCCTGCTCCAACTGTAATTGGATCGTCTTCCAGTGAAGCTCCATCTCAAGCTGCTCAACATGGGTCTGTGTTAAGTACTTCAGTTCATAATCCTTGTCCTTCCAGTTACCCCAAGTATATTGCTCTACCGCTGGTCAATCGAGGAATAAAGCTACTTGATGTAAATGGCAACAGAATTGGTCGGTTAACTAGATCGTCACATGTGAGTTTCGATTATTTGCGTTTACGAAGGAGTAGTATTCCTTTTATTGATTAGCGTTTGAAATGTCCTCCTAAATTTTGTTACTATAGCTTTTTCAGCTAATTTCTTGTGTTATGTTGTTATTCTTATTGTTTTCACTGCAAAATTTCGAGGATATGAATTTTTTGAAAAGTTTCGTCTTATATAGTGTTTCCAGTTAACGGACTACAGTTATCATGTTTTTTTTATCTGATATCAGTTAAATTGTTTTAAATCCTATCCTTTTTTAATTAGTGTGGAATGAATGCAGTAAGTTCGAATTAACTTTTCTTGTCAGCTGTCTTCAACATAAAACCTAACACTAATGTTAGTCGATCCAATTCGCTACACTTTAAATCAGTACAGCAAGAAGAAATCAAAAAGGTGAAAACCATAAGATTAGAAATACCATCGAAAACAGTTGAAGTCTGGACATCGTGAAGCACAGTTTAAGAGAACCAGATCGATGAATAAAGTATCAGGAATGGATTAACTCGAGATTTAGAGAAATGTAGCAGATGATTTTAGGTGAACCATTATGATTAATTTTGCCCCATGTTGCCTAACCAAAAAACTGTTAATTACGAGTACCATAGGTCTTAACCGAGAAATCTCCACTTATCGACATAGCCCAGATCGTCAGTTAGTGTCTTTATGTATTAATGCCATTTTTTGGTCTGGCCACGTTTAACCTCTTTCTAACCTACTTCTGTCAGATAGTATGACGCATTGGTGGTCAAACATATGTAATTGTCTGGGGAAAGTATATTCTCTGAACTGAGTCTCTAAAAGACTCGTCTAAGTGTTAGTCTGACTCTAATGGTAGTTAGCATAGTATAGATTAATAGTGCTAAATGAATTCACAAGTAGTTTATGTCTGAGGGATTCAGTATATTATTTAGAGTCAACGGAATAGATTATGATAAATATTAGTAGTCACTTTTTAAGCACTTTTGAAAATGAAAGCAAGTAATTTCTCTAATGTCATGTTTAAGAATCAATACTTCTAGGATTTTTATTAAACTAACGAGTGGTTAATATATTCGAGGTCCATTATATTTGTTCAAGTTTGATCAATCAAATAAAATGATTAGTTATGTTGCCTAGTTTATCATATATTCGTTGTATTATGCACATATTTTTATTTGAGTATTGTTTTAGTAATATTGTTGATATTTTGATCATTCTTCGTAAAAATAGCATTTTGAAATCTCAACTGACATATAATATTACAAACAGTCATTTATCAAGTGGCTACAAAAATATTATAGAATAAAAACGATATTTCGAACTTTGTTCTAATTATTAATATTTTGTGTTTAAAACATTTCTTGATGTACAGGGTCATTCTCGTATGGTAACTTGTGTTGCATGGGCAAATGAAGGTGTTCACAATCTCTTCTCAACTGGTTTTGACGGTCTCTTATTGGCTTGGCAAATTCACATTGGAAATGTTTAGTATATAAATATTTGAAATCTATTCTTTTACTGCAATAATTCGTTGACTTCAGTATTATGATGGTTTTCTATTTCATGATATGATGTCATATGTGTATGGCTATACCTTTTACACTTTGTAAATACACTTTACACATATGTAAGATATCAACTACCTGTCTACTCATGTTTTCATAATGACAATGACTAATTTTCTTTTTTTTCAAAGTAGTAATTTTCTCTTTATCTCATTTTCTTCACGTTACTTTGTCGTTATTACTTGTCTAAAATATTTTCACTAGGAATGGTCAAGTCAATCTATTACTATTGTCTTCAATGTTTATTTTATTATTATTATCTCTACTATTCATTTTGTTATTACTTGTCTGCGAACAGATTGACTTTATATTTATTACTTATAAGGGTGTAAATATGTATTTATGGAGTGTTTTCTTAGTAAAACAGATTGTTTTCAATATAAACAGATCAGTTATATATAATTTTAATCTCGCGGTTTAAGGGAAGACAAAGAGTGTATACACCTACGCCATTGTGATCAATTTTGAGGCAGGTCACTCAGTCTCCAACCATTGGTTACGATAATCACGCGGACCCCAACAAGGTAGTCTGAATGTACCAACATGGCTAAGACTAGAAGTTAGTGACTTCAAGCACTGACGCCACTTTTTGGTTTGGTGGCCCCTAACTTTCTTCCAACCATCTCCAGCATTGCACGTCGTGGTAATCGCTGTTCAGGCATACGTAATACGTGGCCCAACCATCCCAGTCGATGAAGATTCACAACCTCATCAACTGATTTACCACCATTCTATAATACTCTACATCCAACCTCACTATTACTTACTCGGTGATCCCAGCAGATGCTGGCAGTATTTCTAAGTCATCTGTGGTCATATACTAGTAGCTTACGAGTGTCTTCTACTCTTAATGACCATGTTTTGCATCCGTAAAGTAGAACAGGACGAACTGCCTTAATTGAATTCAGGTTTACTTCGATAAAATCTAACTGTTCGTTTTTGTTGATAGTTGTGCAAAAATGTTCTGTTTCATTTCCGATTCACAAAATGTTCCTAATATTTTTCTTTTGAGACTTTATTACATGCCAGTAGATTTTTCTTCTTCAGTCATGGGCGTTAGCTCTGAAATACGATTAATCCTAAGGGGCTGTAGCCTGTCGATATTAGTTAAAATTGATAAAGCTGTTCTAATTAGAAACAACATTTGTTCTAACACATACTTTTTGGGAATGAGGAGCTGTACTGAGACTGTTATAAGAAGTACGTAGTTCGGCAAAGCCAATTTATAAACTAAATCCTAAGAAAATAATCTTAATTGGTTTGTAAATTGAACCGTGTTTTAAAAGTAATATAAAATTAGTGTAAAACATGACAATAGGCAGGAGGAACGTATAATAGCTTCTGGAAGTTAAAAAGTATTTACTTAATCCATATGCATAACATTCAATCATCTATTTGTATCTTTCGGTGTGCTCTGTAGTCTGAACCATCTCCCAACTTCGTGCTTCCGATTCACTGAAACTCTTCACTCCGTTTGACAACTGTTGCAACTTCGAAGCCAAGTTTTGCTAAATACTACTTACTAACAATCTTGCGAGTAGTGTCCAGTATAGGAGCACTGTTTGTTACCTTGTTGCTATTCTCTTGATTAGATTAAGTTAATTCAACAGTTAATCCTCACCGATATTTTTCTTTATGCGGATAAAGGTATCATACAATTGAGAATGATCCACTCCCAATGTTTATGATTAATGGACCAACGGGGATTTGGCTAATTTGTGAAGGCGTAACAAAATTTCGTACTAAATGCTTTATGTCATTTACAAATTTTTGTTTGATTATACTAAGTGTCAAATGAATTTGAAGCATAGTTAGAAGAATACTTATTCGATCTATCATTGAGTTGATGAAGACCTGTGTTCTAGTAAGTTCAATAGACAATCGTGAATGTGATCATGTATTTTAGGTCACAATACATTTGGAAATTTCTTCGAGATACGTCAACATACTTTAATTAGCATAAATCAGTTATGTATTATGGTAAGATAACTGTCAAACTATGGTTAGTGAATACCAAATAAAACTAATTTACTGACGAAACTCCAAGAATTACAAGCTGATTATCCATGCTTCTTTGGTTCAATTCATTTAGTGGTTGGTAAAAAACACAAAATGAAACACATTTTACTAAATTGTCTCAGCAGTAAGAACTGCATTAGTCAAATATAACGCCAATGAAGTCAGTAAAAATTAATCATCTTTCTGTTATCTAGCTTAGTAGAATTCACGTTTATGATAAACTAAACTCCATACAAACAAGTGGAGTTAATAAAGTCACATGATAGACCAATGTTTGTCAGATGCACACTTTAATGGTTAGTTGAATTAATCAACTAAGTTGTTGTCCAAATGATCTCTGTCTAGGTTATTCCTTCTGCTTATTAATCCGCATGAGTTATTTGGTACTAAAACTCCATGTTTTAGTTATTTTTCTTGTGTTTAGTTGCGTCAGTCGTATATGATTTCTATTTTACCCAAAAAATCGGAATTTTTATATCCACATGCGTTGGTTATAAAGATATTCACACTAAACTTATGAAACATGTTAGACTATGACGAGCTCACATTTATTCAAGGTTGGAAATGAACTTAAAAGTTTGCTTTCAATATTGTGAGCTTTTGTGATATAAGCAAGTACAGTTTTAGGTTCATATATGATAAAGTATTATGCCGATTTGACTGTATTTTACGTATTGGTCTTAAATCTATTAAAATTTTTGTGAATGAAACTAGGCAGGGTACGTTCGATCAATGATCTTATAAATAATTTTGCCGTTTATAATTCTAAATCCATACATATTAATCTTGACTTAGAGTAGGATCGTCTGGATTTGGGAAGCTTTATTACATTTCCTCAGGATTACTCTGATGAAATAGAACCTGCTGTTATACATCAAGAAATTTTTTAATCAAGACCAAATTAATTGCCAGTTTCTTTTCATCAGGAACAAATTGACCCTATCTTGAACAATTTTTCCAACTTTGTTGGAATGAATTATGTAGGAAGAAAGTTCAGCTTATATTGTTATTTTTCTTGAAGATCATCAAGATTTTACGCCTTCCATGTTATCCGTCTGAGTTTTGACGAAAGGAGAATAAGAATATATAGGAAAGCGCAGAAATACAATGATTTTCAAGAATGTTCACCTTTTTTAATTTTCTCCATGTAAGCCCTTCTTAATTTTGCAGGATGTATAAAGAGTATATTCCCAGATAAATATTTTGTCGATAGGTGAAATCTGTATTTGCCATATATATATATATATATATATATATATATATATATATATATATATATATATATATATATATATATATATATATATATCCGGTTTTTAATGATATTGTATGATTGTTCATTTGGCGTTCTGAGTACCGACACATGCGGACGTGGTTTATTTCACTTCAACCACGCGAACAATTGGTCATCAATAATCTCATTATTTTATCTATTTATTATCGTACATTAACGCAGACTGATTATTTAACGTCCTGCTCATGAAAAAACCAGGCTCACTGATTATTAAATGCTCCTACCATAAAGTTGACTACGATATTTAACTTGACGATATCTTATCTGATTAATGTTTGAGTTTAGAAATCAGTAAATGAGTAGTCACAAAACCCTGCTTCAGATATTTCCAGACAGATGATTTTGTCGATCGACTGAATTTCTTTCTCTAACTCGTATTAAGATTCTTATGTTATATACATTAGTTTGATCCATAGTATATATATATATATCATTTTACTGGAAATTAGCATCAACATGAAATGTAGCAATTCATTATCAGTCATGTTTAATAATTTATGCGTAAAATGTTACGTGATGACAAAACGTAGTGTGCTTGTGATCAAATTGGGGATTATATATGTATCAATCCGCAGTTGTTAATAAATTGAGTAATTTCGGAAGTGCCATAATCCTTTTCACACATTTCAACCACTTGACAACACATAACTACTTGTTACATTCAGTAGTATAATCTCCTCAAAAATTTTCCAAATATATATGTATAATTTACAAAGGAAAATAAGAATATTTTTATTGCTAATAAGTGATTATTTTGTTTGAGGCATTAAGTAACAAATTAGCTAATTCAATGGCATGATTATACAATATGTAGTGCGAACAATCCTTTATTGTAATCTTTAATGCTAAAATTTCATTAGATAACTTATTCAAGAAAATTGACTGAAAACTGTGAACAGATGAGATAACTTTACAGTTTGGTACTGAATATTCTGGATTGTAATTTTTTTATTTAAAATTTGATGATTCTATATCAAAATGAATTATATCAATGTTATATTCTTCTACCTTTTAGTGATCAAAAATAAATATTCCTAGCGAATAACCGGAGGTAATTTTGCAAATCTCTCTTAAATAGTCAGTAAATTTATTTAGCAAGTACAGATACTCTCTGAGCCGCTCTTTTTTGTGTATATTTAGGTTAGCGATGCTAATAAACAGACACCAAGATGAAGTAGGTACAACGAAGTCATAATTCAATGTTATGACAATTGATTGATACATTAAGTCAATCAGTGATATGTCAAGTAATTAATGCATGTGATTAACCTGAATGTGACTCTAATTTCTAAGGAATAAAAACTACCATTAGTGGCCTAATTTTCCAAGGGATATATATATATACCGATTCGGTCAACTAATAAAGAGTCTCCTTTTAACTAATATAGCCGGTTACGCTTGTCCATACATAGAAAAGTTGAGTGTCGATCTCAGTATCGAACAATACACTTTGAAAAACTGGCCATTACCATTACCACACCTCAATTACTTGACAAAATGTTGATTTTACATAAACAGTTTTCATCATATAAATGTTATTTTAAATACAAAATAGGTAAATATCTAATGTTTAAATTCTCAATCAATAATTCAACTGTCAACTTAGAACTG